AACTAATTAATAAAGAGTGTAGAGAAATGAATGGGTTTTTTTAACAATAAAAGTGAACAGAAATCAATAGCCCGCAGAATTATATGCAGCCTACCGGTATTTTTATTTATTTGTAAATTATTTTATTTTAGGAAATTAGGGAATGAAAAGTGAAGAAAAATTAATAGCCTGCGTAAAATGTTGTATTTCTATTTACCGGTATTTATTTATTTGTTAATTATTTTTAGAAATTTGTGGAACTGAAAAAGTGAAGAGAAATTAATGGCCTGTAGAGAAATGAATAGTTTTAGAACAACAACAACAATAAAGGAAATATGTTTCCAGAATGAAAAAAGTATTTATGAAATGAAATGGGGTTTAACGTCCACTCGACACAAACTAGGTCATTTCGGGACTAACATATGGCATATGGTGGGCAATTCCACGCTAAAGTAATACAATTAGGTGAAAAATTTAATTAGTTGATAAGTGGACAAAAATAGTGTCTTATGGTGGGAAATAATCCATATTTTGAAGAAAAATCTCAATTTGGGTGGAGACTCTTCCAATTTTTTTTTATTTGGTCTTGTGTCAAGGTTTACGTTGTAAATGTCGAATTTATAATTCTATTGTATTTTCTTACTTTGTGTTTGTTTGATTATTCTGGCTCATAATGAATGATTTGGCATTAGTTAATTATCTGACAATGTATATAAACATAATATTTAAACATTAAAATATAAAAGTAATATATTTTTGTGAAGGTAACCAACATTGAAAAATATCACTATGAGAATGTACGTCCGTTACCAAATATTTACATTTTTTTTTCTCTCATTCATATTTTTATATGGAATTATTTAAAACTTCATATCTAAAGCTATAATAACCCATTCTTACTATAATGACTGTAAAAAGAAAAGATTTGCAAAAATTCTCAGAATAACTTGGGTTTTCATAGATGTACGTCCGTTACTTTTCACAGTATTTCATGTTACCAAATATTTACATTTTATCTCTCTTATTCATATTTTGATGGAACTGTTCAAAAACTCATATTTAAAGCTAATAACATCATTCATTCTTGTTACTATGACCGTAAAAAGAAATCATTTGCCAAAATTCTCTGAATTACTTAGGGTTTCATAGATGTATGTACGTCCGTTACCAAAATTTTAGGGTAAAAATGTACGTCCGTTGCCAAAATTTTAGGGTCACAATATTTCATTCAAGGAGTAATGTTTTTAGGAAAGTAACTGCTCCATTAATTCAAATGAGTTAACTATTATTTTTGTCTATAAGTCCGATTATTTGTAAGTTTACATATCTAATGTAATGGGTTACATCCGTTACCAGAAAATATGTAAGTCCGTTACCACAATAATTTCTAATTTACTGGGTTACAAGAATCCAAATGTGAGAAGTGATTATGCAGTACACATGTAGTATTAGTGCCCTTTCTTAAAAGGATTAAAACTTTTAAATTCCACAAGACAATTCACAGAGTTTTGAAACTATGTTCATGCAGGCAACTCATGGTGACTGTTCATTTCTGTATGTCCGTTACCTATACTTTGAAGAGCCAATATTTATTTCCAGTGTTCATGAATAAATTAAATTATATGTCAATTGATACTGAAATCATATGTCTTTAATGCTATATAAAACTCAAACAGTTAATTATTCGTGGTTACAAAATATTGGAAGGAATAAAAATATGGTGAGTTCAAAATGTACGTCCATTACCGTGGAATTGCCCTGGTTTAATTTTTTTATTTCAATAATACGCTTGCGCGTAGGGGTCTTTAGCAGTGAGAGTAAACCAGAGGACCTGGAGAAAACCCACGAGGTTGGACAGGCGACCCTACTCCTTGTCACGTACAACCGGGGAATCGAAACCCCGCCAGTTGACTCTATGGCACATAGGCCTACGAGTTAGAAGATATGGTGGCTGTATAATTTAATATTATATTTTTTTAAAAAAAGGTGTTAAATGTGTCAAATTGTGTGTGTGCGGGGGGGGGGGGGGGGGTGTAGGCGCCCAGGGCCTAGTTGTGTGAGGTTGCGGTTGAGTAATGAGTGTTTGTTTTCGGGGAGCATTGAAGAGACAGCGTCTCGTTCGGATGGGACGAAAAACCGAGGTCCCGTGTAGGCCTACACCTTGGCGTGCACGTAAAGAACCCTTGCTAGTTGGAATTCAATTGCTGTCCGGGCAAAATTCCCCTTAGAGCACACTGTATGGTGTATGGCCGTCTTCATTATCCCGCTAGGACGTTAAACCCCATTTCATTCTTCACCTAGTCTAATTTGTTTTCGCTTGTTCAGCTGAACTTGTTTGTGTTTAGAAAAATAATATGACATGAAAATTTATTATATATCTTAAGTTTCTTATAAAGATTTAGTAGTAAAGGGTTTCTTTTATTTTAAAATGACTTTTAGATTAGGTCTTCACATCAAATTAATGACATTAATTCGATTGTTATTGAGTAGGCCTATTGACGTTTACATTGGAATGAGCTTGACCCTAACCCAGTGCTAGAAGTAGAAGAATGGACCGATTTTTGATAGGTACAGTTGATAAATCAATCTAACCTGTGAAACGCTATTCCACTACCCTTTTTTCGGGTGTTTGAGCAGCCAAAACAGCAGCAACTTTCTGGCATATTGATTATAAAACACGATTTAAAAGATCTAATGGTCGTTACTGTCGTCAGCGTCAACTCCCCGGAACTAACATGGCGGACAAGGCCCCTACACTGATCCGCAGTGAATATTCGCTTGGCCGCTACAATCACTGATAAGGATGACATCGATGCGACTTAATGACTACAAAATATTAACTTTTTTCTTTCGACAAATTAAATTCTGAAACATTTTGTTTTAGTATTAGAAAAATAAATAAAGGTGTTTGATGTATATCTTGATAAAAAAATATTCCATATTTAGCGTAAATAGGTACAGAAAATAGTACGCGGAGGCGTAAAATGGGTTAAACGATATAATTTTGCCCGTACTAGTTCATATTACTACGTTCGATGTAAACAACGCACGTGTGACCATCAATTTGACGTTTTTTTCTGTTTGTTTACTCTGAATTCTTTCAGAAGTACATTTTTTTACCGTCTAATCTGATTCACCTGCTCGTGTTTGTTTTAAAACAACACAAACAAGCCACAGAAGTAATCATTTTTGGCGTTATCGATGCCATCTTGCTTTGTTGGTAAACATTGTGATGTGACGTCACCCTTAGAACTACAGCGGTCTGACCTTTTAAAGGTCAGTCATCTTGGACAGAGATAAAAGACGGATGTCGCATTATTAGGTCTGTAAAACAGATTGCAAGGCCCCATGTCAGCACGCTGTCACGTGAGTAAAGGCAAGTAAAAACGAAATTTTGAACTATAAAAAACGAAACGAAATTGGATCTGTGTTTTAATCAGATTGAGAAAGTTCATCCAGATTTTCCAGCATGGTTCCCCCTTGTCAGTGGGGGATCACGTGGCTAAGTGGGTAAGACGCTAGCTTGCTAGCCTGGAGTTCGGGTGTTCGATCCCTGCATTGGCCGAGAAAGTTCATCCAGATTTTCCGGCGTGGTTCTCCCTTGTCAGTGATGCAGGACGGAGGGGCTGACAAGGGACAAAAAACCGAGGTCCCGTGTACACATTGGCGTGCACGTAAAAGATCCCTTGGCAGTTGGAATTCGATATAAGAGTAGGCCGTAGTGCCGCTGTCCGGGCAAAATTTCATAGCACACTGTATGGCATATGCCCGTCTTCATTAGCCCAGGTTAGGAGCAGAACAGTAGGACGTTAAACCCCATTTCATTTCATTTCATTTCATTTCCCTTGTCAGTGATGCAGGACGGAGGGCCTGACAAGGACAGCTGTCTAGTCGTTAGGATGTGACGAAAAACCGAGGTCCCGTGTACACTTTGGCGTACACGTAAAAGATCCCTTGGCAGTTAGAATTCGATATAAGAGTAGGCCGTAGCGCCGCTGCCCGGGCAAAATTTCCACCATAGCACACTGTATGCCCAGTTCGGAGCAGAACAGTAGGACGTTAAACCCCATTTCATTTCATTTCTTTAAAGCTCAATCAATATATCGGTACCTCTTGAAAATCCTGTAATTGGATATGCATAAAAATGTAGGCCTCTAATCCATTCTATATAATCGATTACGTGTCAACTTTTGTTTATTATAACGATAAACAATTTATAAAAGCCAAAAGGATAATGAAAGGAGGGGTCCAAGCTTTCAATTATAGTGGTTTATCTTCCCAGTCAATATTATAAAAATATTTAGGACAGGGTACAATAAAAGCTGAAATTGACATACACTGAATCATTTGTCTCACTTTGCCCCCGCCCCCACACCCCTACCCTAGACCCGGCACTGGGTGGACCTATTCACAACAATCACCAACTACACAAGAGTTGTGAGGTCCATGCATATTTCATTACGATAACGACAATAGGTCCTAAAAGTTCATTTTTTAAAGGTGCGGCGGAAGTTGCGGAAGATGTATTCATACAAATAATATAGCCTATTATACTATATTTAAAGAATTGATATTATCCAGCAATACTGATAAATATAGCTTATTATATAATTTATAGAATTCTTACTTCTTCAGCAATACTGATAAATTAACGGGACTCTCTAAAAGGCCTCACAACCAATAAAATTATATAGATACAAACTCACCGAATAGAAATGAATGCATATATAAAAATATGGTGCATAGGTCACTTTTTCTTGTCTTTCCGATCTTTCCGATTAGTTAGCAATATATGTTCAGTAAATGGGCTTGATAAAGCTCTTGAGTAACTCGGGAGAAAATTGCCCTAGCTTGAACTAATAAATCAAATATAACGTGTCTATTCTAAATTTAGGTCATTAAACTGGAGTATACACAAAAGTGAATTGTTGGGCTGTACAGTGTACTACAGATAAACATCTTACGCAACCGGGAGGGGGCTAGTTTAACAAAAATGTCGTAACTTTAAGATAAAATCTTACCTTAAGCAAAACTTGCGAAAAAGAAACGAATTGTTTAATTACGACGTTTCCACAAACGCTGGCGTGACTTTTTTCTTAGCTCTTTTCATAAATACCTCATGAATGATAGTGGCATCATGCACTTCATTCAAACTTCGGTGAAAATTCCCACGATATGAATTTTGACAATGGCTACATTTTATAGCTGCTAAGTTGAGTCGACCCGTTGGAGAAGTTAGAGCTATTCTTAACGACGAGAATGTTTTTATATACGCCAAGATTTTACTGGCAATTGTAGTCTCGGGCATCCAGAACCTCCTAATCTTCAACGTACGAATATACGTAGAATGTCTGTCTGAATGATAGAAACCACAATTGATAAATAAAATGCTATAGCATGTCCATGCCTTTGGTTTACTTGTTTTTGTTTACTTCGTCATAGCGTGTGATATTTATAATAATAATAATTTGTTATTTCCATAAAGGGCCCTCACTGGACCATTCCATATATTAACATATTTACATTAATTTAAAAACATAATAATAACATATTTACATTAATTTAAAAACAACAACAGCATAAATAATATGACATTAATATAGGACTACAGTTGTGTTGCTGGATGTGACCTTGACCGTAACTGTTTACCCTAATTTAATACAGTGCAGGGGCGGATCCATAAAAAGCTCCAGCTTGCTTGATCAACAAAAATGTCTTAGTTTTAAAAAGAACGTGGTCCGTTAGTTACAGTACATATACATTGTACCTTTCCTACTGCACACGAAAGTTTGACTCTACGTCCATAAAACCTATAATTTGTAAGAAACAATGATATAAATGTAAGAGCGTTCAAATGTGATGATACGTTGATTTGAGTCCGAGTATTGGAAAATTCGGGTGATTTTGGGTAGATTTGGGTAATGGCTAAATTGTATTGTGCCACTATGTCGGAAGCCAGTTAACACACGTGTGAATTGAAACTCCGGGGAGCGAAATCGAACCCATGGTCGCGACAAGACGAGCATTTTCAAACGCGAGGAAGCTAAAAGTCTAAGAAAACTTCAAGACCTTGATTAGACGTCGAGGTTGTAAAATGGCCGTAACAGACTTCCATACATCGGTATGATTGGAATTCTGGAACGGGCGGTCTTCCAAAATAGATACAAATATTGGGCGTCTTCAAACAGCTATAGAACACTTAGATATTATCATATTCCTCGCGGTGCTTCGTTTGATTATATCTTATCCCACTTAACACTGCGGTAAAGGGAGCAAATTTATGTTCCAAATTATGACTGGTCAATAGCCCGATTAACTACCAATAGCTAGCTGCGTAACAAACTCATTACGCCTTAAACAGAGCTCCAAATTGGACCAAATAAATATGTTCACATAACGTTACGTCATGACTCACGATTTTATTATGCCCAATTAAAGATACATTATGGGAGATCCGATAACGAGTTGGCACTTCTCATGATAATAATTAAAACTAGATAATGTAAAGGCAATTTGCTGAAAATTTCATTCAAATTGATCCACTATGAACTGAGAACTAAGCGAATGAAATTTCTGCCTAGCCTCGGTCATCATTACGATTAAAGTCAGTACGATAAACAGCATAGTCTCGATTATCCAATTAATCGTTTAATCGAGAAGGAAGGTTATGCAGTATATCGGCTCACAATCCACTTAAGATCGCAGGCTAGCGATGCCATCTAGAGTTGATTATGGTCTGGATAAGTTAATTAATGTCTAATTAATAATTTAGATTATCCAATTAATCGTTTAATCGAGAAGGAAAGTTAGGCAGTAGATCGGCTCACAATCCACTTAAGATCGCAGGCTAGCGATGCCATCTAGAGTTGATTATGGTCTGGATAAGTTAATTAATGTCTAATTAATAATTTAGATAACATTTCAGGCCTAAAGAAAGACCCGCAATAGACAGATTTAGCTCTTGCATAATTTATGTTTAACCAGTGCACAGCAGAATATTGCCCCCAACCCCCCGAAAAAATGTTTTGCCCCCACCCCCGAAAAAAAATTTGCCCACCATAGCTCTAAAACACCTACTGTTGACTGGGCCGGGTGTGCCACCCCCCCCCCCCTAAAAACTTCACTGTCCCTCCAAAGCTAGCAAGCTGGCTACGGGTCTGTTTGTAATTAAACCGGAGTTCTTTGTTGTGTTTTCTTCATGATCGTAAATATAACTGACATACTAAAATATTGGGGAATCGGGTTAGGCTAGGCTCACTGCGCACAAAAATAACTTCTAAACTAGCTTTGGTGGCTCCAAGATCTTTATTTCACCAAATCGACAGATGCATAGGTATGAATTTGCCAAATTTCATTAACTTCCTATGTTGGCGTATCGAGTTATACCACCGCAAATTTCCTAGCACTCGGATTCGCGATGGCGTTCGTGAATTCAATAAACAAGGGGTACACCCACGCTGCATCAAAAAGCACCAAAACCAGCTTTGGTGGCAAAATTTTTTTTGTCTAACGGAATCAAGGGATGAATAAACTACTAGAATACAAAAGTTCAGAAGCGTCCTATGTTGGCTTTTCGAGATATATCACCGTAAACAAACTAAAAATATGAGGGAATCGGGTTAAGGTAGGATCACTGCGCACACAATAACTTCTAAACTACCTTTGGTGGCTCCAAGATCTTTCATTCGCCAAATCGACAGATGGCTAAGGTATGAACATGCCAAATTTCATTAACTTTCTATGTTGGCATATCGAGTTATACCACCGCAAAGTTTCTAGCACACAGATTCGAGGCGGGGTTCGTTGGTACAATAAACAAGGGGTACCCCCACGCTGCATCAAAAGCACCCAAACCAGCTTTTGTGGCAAAATGTTTTGTATTTCCCTTGATTCCGTGAAATAAAAAACATTTTGCCACCAAAGCTGGTTTGGGTGTTTTGTGATGCAGCTAGGGTGTACCCTTTGTTTTTTGAAATGATCCTCGGCTCGAATCCGGGTGCTAAGAACTTTGCCATGATATAACTCGATACGCGAACATAGAAAGTTACTGAAATTTGGCATGTTCATACCTTATGCATCTGTCGATCTCGGAGCCACAAAAGCTAGCTCAGAAGTTATTTTGTGCGCAGTGAGCCAACCCTAACCCGATTCCCCAATATTTTAGAATGTTTACGGTAATGTATCTCGAAAAGCCAACATACGAGGCTTCTCGAATTTTGCAGTCTAGTAGTTTATTAATCCCTTGATTCTGTGAAATAAAAAACATTTTGCCACCAAACCTGGTTTCGGTGCGTGGACGTAGCCTACCCCTTTTCTGCATGCTCAGCGTTAGCCTAGTGTGCGATATTTTAGTATGTTTACGTTAATGGAATTTTTTTTTTTTTGGCGGGGGGGGGGGGGGGTCTATTGACTTTGCATTAATATGTCTTAAAATGTTATTTTCTAGTATAAAGGTAACAATTATTTTCGTGATATTTATATCTAGGTTTTTATTGGCGCTAGATATATGTGTTAACTTCATTTCGAATCCGGGTGCTGGAATATGGGTGAGGGATTCCGCTCGGTTGTAATGTATAGCCTATGTAGTTAAAAAAAAAAAATAACAAAACAAAAAAACAAAAAAAAACATTAGTTGTTATCTGTAAGGGGCAGATGTGCCACGGTATGGTTAATTCGGCACTGATCATTCTAATTATCAGCACAGGATGGATAATCTTTAATTCTATGGCTAGATCGAAGACGGTCAAGCACATTACATTGATGTTGATATAAGCGGCCCCATTCTTCAGCGTTTAGAGTTAGATTGATCGTGCAGGAGAGATTAGTTATTTGTGAAAATTTAAAGAAAATAATCAAATGTCTCTAAAAAGAAAGAGGTATGCATTATTGTTGTCGCTGAATATTACAATTTACTTGTTCAGTCAATCATATTGATAACCGTGAATGTCGTTGAAACATGCAGTAGGCCTACAACGGAACTCACCCAACTGTCAATTATTATTTTTTATTTATACTTGATCTACTATTCGTCGGTGGGGAGTCAAAAGGTCGTATCTGGATTTTGCGAAATTGTCCAGGAGAGTCAAAACTAGCCCAGAGGTTAAGAATCAAAATGTCTTATAAAACCATCACGTCAAAATGACGTATGTAAAATGTCGTATTTCTGAAGCTTTTCTCAAATACTTATTTACAAAATCGTAGGCTATACGCTATCTATGTGTAGCCAAGGAGTGAAAGCTAGTTATTTGCGATTTTATTCAGCAAAGACGTATCTCATGAAAATATTCAGCTTTACCTGCGTCAATTTCATACGTTTCACACAGTATACAGAGCCTCAACAATAATTTCAATAATTCGTATACCGGTATTTAACCATAAAAAAAACCAATACTAGCCATATTTCGTTTGATTGTAATGCTTTGGTTAGACACAAAGAAAGTTGATTTCTTCAAGAAAATACAACATTTTCACTCTTAATATTTTTTTTTTTTTAGAACACCCCATATACGGCATTTTGAAACAGTATCTATAAAACATATTTTTATTGGCTTAGAAATACGACAACCAGATGAAAAGATGCACACGAAAATTCTCATTCTGAAATAGCAAAAAAGTGAATTTTGCAAAATATGCCAGATACAACCTTTTGACTCCCCACCGACGTATTGTATTATTATATTATTGTACGGTATCTTATTTAACTAAATGGATTGATTTGTTACCGAAATTTTAAAATATTTTTGCTTTTCACTTTGAACGGTCAAATAATGTGACGCTGTCAAGCATTTAAAAAACATGCATTTTTAGTTGTTGATAGCCGCAGCCCAGTAGTGACTATAGCTGGCATGCCCAGCCATCAATTATACATTGATTACCACATGTCAAATTGCGCCAAGTAGGCCTACTGGTGTAAACTTCCCCTTATGTCAAATTGTAGACAACCTAAGCAAGTATATATAATGCTAAGGTAGTTACCAGGGGCGGATCTAGGAATTTTGAAAAGGGGGGGCGCCGCAAAATGAGGGCACTGACCGCGGAGACGGGGCACGCCGCTGAGAGGGGATTTTTTTGGGGGGGGGGGGTCCCCCAAGAAAATTATCCGTCGTTTCCTTGCATCTGTAGCCATTCCAAGAGCTATTTGGCTGATATTTTCGTCTAAGTAAACGTTCGGAAATCGTTGAAAAAGAGCCTTGAAATCGAGCAAAAAAGCCAGTTGAACATGCGGCTCGAAAATTGTCAAGGGCGAGCGAGGCATTATGGTGGGAAAAAAGACGAATCTATTCCCTAGCCACTTCACTATTTAAGCCTTGTAACTTGTACTTTGTACTGTCCACACATGAAACAATGCAACATCAAGTTGCACTCATGCGCGTCGGTGATGGACATGAGTGTATACGCCGCCGATTCCACAAGATGTCTGTCTATAGTCACTCTATAGGATTAGGGCACCGTCAGCTAAACAACAAGAATTCATTTGAAAGTGGAAGCATTAATTAGACCAGACTGATGTGTTTGAATCGATGGTTTGAGTCATTTGGGATCCCTGCAACGGGTTGGCAACGGACATATTTGGGTCTGAGAAAAGGCACTTTCAGCAGTAAAAAAGGGCACTGTCGAAAATTAGGGGGGGTGCGCGCCCCTCGCGCCCCCCCTTGAATCCGCCTCTGGTTACATGTAGATTCGGTGGGTTGTGTATCACCCAACGTTCGGGGCTATTCTGCGTTCGAATATGCACCCAGGTGATACATATGTAATATTTGTAGATATGGATGAGCTAGGATTGGGGGTGTATAGCTCATTCGTGGAGAAGTATTATATAGTGAAGGTGGTCACTGCATTATAAGTCCAATACATCCATATGCCATCTACTGAAAATCTCGTTAACAGGTAGAGGAAGTTTCTCTTACATCTTTGGCAATCTTCACAGGTCTTGACATATTGATGAATATCATTGAGCATATTGCGCCAGTAGTACTTCATTCTGATGGTTTCAAATAATCTCTCTTGGCCTTGATGACATCCACCAAAATTTGAGTCATGGTATGCAATTAAGACATCATTTTGAAGTGCTTTTGGTACTGCCAGTAATTTTTGAAATCTTCCTCCTTGTTCGGGCCTTTGTGTTTTAGTTTGCGCATATAGAACAAGATTCCATCTTCTAATTCATAATCTTTGGACCTAATGTTGATACATTTCGCCATCTTCTCGTCATCGGGCAATATATTACTTTCTTTAAAGATTATGATATCAGATAGATCTTGACAATTTCGTTGCAGGTGGCACAAATTTGGATCGTTAAAAATTGTACAAGAGTTGTGATTACCTTGATCATCCGGGACATCAGCTTCATCCATGGCTGCAGCAACAAGTGGGAGGGTGCACGAGGAATGCTGCACTTCATATCGGTCTGTCTCATACTCAAATGTGTAGATTGTTTCTGGCTTTTTCTCCTGACAACAATAGACTGGCTGATCGTCAAGGAACTTATTTGGATTGTCTGATGGGGGGTAGATTCTTCTTGACAAACCATCAGCATTTCCATTCTTAGAGCCTGCTCTATGTTGGATGTCAAAGCGATACTCTCCTAAAAGCATAGACCATCTTCCAAGGCGACTAGTTTTATCCTTAAACCCTTTTTAACCATTTGAGAGAAATATGATCAGTAAATACAAGAAATTCTTGGTTAACTATATATGGACGGTATGTCTTTACCGCTTCGACTAATGCTAAGCCTTCTTTTTCAGAAATTGACCATTTCTTTTCTGCACCATGTAATGCTCGCCCTCCATAAGCAACCACATATTCTCTATTTTGATCATCCTTCTGCCCTAAAACAAAGCCAATAGAATCATTAGATGCATCTGTTAAAATAATAAATTGTTTTCTAAAATCTGGAAATTTTAAAATAGGACCTGAAGTTAGATGCTTCTTAAGATCATCGAATGCAACATCACATTCTTTTGTCCATAGAAATGTTGCATCCTTTTGCAGTAAAGCATTTAAAGGAGAGGCAATCTTTGAATTATTTTTGATAAATTGTCTATAATTGTTACAGGTTCCTAAAAAACTACGTACCTGCTTCACATTCTTTGGTGTTGGAAATTCTGTTACTGCTCGTATTTTGTCTTCGTCAACGCTAATGCCTTCTTTACTTAAAATATGTCCCAAGTACTTAACTTTCTTCTTAGCAAATTGACATTTTGATGGTTTTACTGTAAGATTTGCTTCGCGAAGTCTGTTGAAAATTTGCTGTAAGTCATTTAAATGCGATTCAAAGTTTTGGCTAAAAATGATTAAATCATCCACGTAGACCAACGTGATTTTCCAATTTAGCTCTCGCAACACGGAATTCATCATCATCTGGAAAGCAGCCGGCGAATTACGTAAGCCAAACGGAAGCCGATTAAATTCAAATGATCCTTGATGCGTGACAAAAGCAGTTTTATGCTTTGTTTCGGGATCTAATTCCTGTTGCCAAAATCCTGATTGTAAGTCTATTACGGAATAAATAGTAGCGTTTGCAGCAGCAATGAGATCTGTGGTGTCTGATAAGAGTGGTAATGGTTCTGTGACTTGGTTTAATTTTCTATAGTCTACCGCAAACCTATGACTGCCATCTGGTTTCTTAACTAGCACAATTGGAGATGCCCAACTGCTAGAAGATGGTTCTATTACACCATTGTCTAACATTTCCTTGGTTAATTTTTCAGTAATTCCCTTTGCCTCAGTACTTTGTCTATATGGGCGTGATCTAATTGGTGGTGCATTATTTGTAATAATTTTGTGCATATACCCTTTTGCTTTGCCTAATTCTGTTAGATTTGTTGCAAATATATCTCTATATTGACCTAAGAAGCCTAGTAATTTTGTCTTCTGTTTTTGTGATAAATCAGAATTTTCTAAATTGAATCCCAAAGACTTAGCTAGTTCCACCGATAAATGTTTTGGACACTGGATATTTGAGACTGTAAATTTATCATGATTTTGTTTATCTTGCTCTATGTCTAAAATATGATCTTTATTTATGATATGGGCTTTCGCAATTATAGTATTAGCTTTAATTTTAATTTGTTCCTCAGAGGAATTTAAAAACCTAACATAACCTCTATTAATATTTGTTTTTACAATACTTTTACCACCTAATAAATTTTCTTTTTTTGAATTCTCGACGTGGGTTCAATATATACAATTTCATTTAAAGGTATTTTGGATATTTTAGCTGGAATTAATATTTCTGAGTTAGGATCAATTGATATGTCTTTGATGGTCCTGACAAATCTCACTTGATGTTTTCTATGTCCCTGGCACTTAAGTATTTTATCTGATACATCTTCCTTTGAACTGTTTTGTTCTTTTAACTTAGTACTCTTTTGTTCATTTTCTATTGTGCCACTGGGAGTGCATATGCGACATGTATTAATCCCTCGTTTAAAGTCAAAGTTTTGTTTTTATGATTAATTTCAGCATTTGTATCAATAAGTAAATCATTACCTATTATAAAATCGTGTTGGATATAATTAAAGATGTAAAATTTATGAATAATTCTAGTGGTTGAAATTTGAAATTCGAGTAGAGTACTCCCTACGACTTTGACAGTTTGACCCCCTACACCAGAAATGTAAGTTATATCTGAAGATGATATTTCTGCTTCTGGTAAAACCTTATCTAACAGTGATTTGGAAATACAAGATATGCTCGCCCCTGTATCAATGAGACTTTTTATGACAGTATTGCCTAAAGTCACATTTACAAAATTTTTATTTAGGGAAGCGATAACATTTATATCGGTAGTCGAAGATTTGGTATTACTATCTAGTTCCTTTGAGTGAGAATGACCCATCTTAATGACTCTGACTTAGGTTGAAATTAACTAGTAAATAAGTCTATTATCAAAAAGAATGATAATTATTGTCACACACTAAATGTAAATTTTCGAGAATGGTACAAGAAATAGTTGATTTAACTTACCAAACTAATTCTGTGATCTCATATGAACCAAATCTAGGAATCCACTTGTATCTCCAATCTGTTCTTGACTGTCTCTGTTCAAACCATTAGATCTTCAGTTGTTCTCGCTTGGCATGTGAGAAGTTCCGAGTCTTGAATTCATCTTCCACCATTATATCACCCAATGTTCGGGGCTATTCTGCGTTCGAATATGCACCCAGGTGATACATATGTAATATTTGTAGATATGGATGAGCTAGGATTGGGGGTGTATAGCTCATTCATGGAGAAGTATTATAGTGAAGGTGGTCACTGCATTATAAGTCCAATTCCAAATCCATTTCAATATTACTTTATATACAGTTTAAAAATACATTATTTACAAGATCATATCAAAGGGTTACTAAAATGTCTTAAGCCTATCTCATCTGATGTCCCTGTATATTTTTCATTCTTTTCTGTCTGTGTAGGGGTCTTTTAAACAAAGTAATTTGCATACAGACAAAAAGACAATTATTTCAACAAATCAGATTAAAGATAAAATTAGGGATAAAAATATATAGTAACGAATCACATGAAAGAAGTTAAATTAATATATAAATTTCATTGGGTAAAAGTTTTACAATAACATATAGAATTAGTTAATAAGCTTTTAAGCCGTAAATAAAATTAAAAGCGTCGACACTTGATTGGCACTGATCTGACTGCATTGTTTAATGTATAAATCTTTATTTCGAGCTTTCTACTAATAAGCCTATTGGCACCTCAAAGATTATAATAGTACAGTCAAGACCATTCTTGCTTAGGGCAATCACTTTAAGAGGTTTAAATCAAAATATTAAAGTCAGCCATATTGATGAATATAGAAGTAAGAATTAAATTATGTATTATTTGGAAAAGAAATTAATATCACTATTCGGTGATATGTGTAACCTGGGCAACCAAAGTCAGGGTACTGTTTTACTGTATTGGTTTTGGTTTCGTTTGAAATTCAAACGATATTCGCAATACCTCTTACTTTATCAGAGAATTTAAGCTTAGACTGTCTGATATTGATCTACAAAAATGATCAGATATGTATTATCATATAGTCTGCAATATTACAAAAACTTTAAAACGAATATTTGTCAAGAGCAATATTTATCCCTATATTTGGAGTAAAGTGTAAAATGAATTTTTATGCAAGATTAAACCTACTACCTACAAATGGCACATTTGTTTAAACAAATACTGAATAAACTATATACATGTATATATGGGCCAAATGGGGCCCAGGCACACAGTTCATGACAATTAAAGAGAAAAAACCTATTAAATTTCAGATGAAAGTTCCACTCATCGTTCTAGTGGCGTGATGGGTGAAGACTGAATGAGTCTGCAATCCCTCAACCTTCTCTGTGATTGGTTGACACCTATGATGTTATGTCATTTCCACGCCTATTCTGTTTGGAACTGAAAAGAGTTTCCTATTTCAATTTGATTATGTAATTTCTTCTTGTATTGTAGACTGTTTAATTGTGTGTAACACATGTGTGCCATTCGAAACAATATAAAATAATCTTTTCGGAGCAGTAGGGGTCCTGCAATACAAGTCTGGCCCAGGGCCCCGCTCCATTTAAGCTGGGCTTTATCTAGTTACCTTAGTAATGGATATTCATATCGCTTCGTTCGAGCGATATGAATATCTGTTACGAAAGTAACTAGGCTTTGATGATAGACACGTTAGTAATAGTAAAACTTTTTGAATTTTATTCCTCAGCACTCAGTCAGTATATATATATGCATTTCCTAATTTGGGAAGATTTAACCAGTATTGGTATCCTATAAGTTGTATGCGGTCTTAAGTACCAGTATTACCATATATTATTATAAATATATACGGTAGGGAAACACACACTTTATGTACTGAAACAATAGGTTAATGTTTATTTTCAGACTTCCTGAAAATGATGATTTAGAATCTGTTACAGGTGGAACTCTAGCACAAATTGAAGAATTGATAAAAAAACATGAATTAGAAACATTATCAAAATATGTTTGTAAAAAAAAGGATAAAGATTTTGGAAAAGAAATTCTGGAAATGGGTAGGCTACTGTAAATACTTTGTTATGGTTTTAATAGTATAACTTTAAGATGCATTATGTAAGACTTTGATAAAAAGCAGGTCGTTCTATAATAGTTCAAAAATAGATAATGAAAAATGAATATATTAAATATTTTATTCAAATTACTTTATTCTGAGTGAAGGTGTGACTGTTTGAAGATGTAGTGTAGATCATTTATTATCGTACTACGTAGCAATGGTACTTGACAACCAAGACTAAGTCTCGATTATCCATATTATCCTTAAATATTTATACGCCAACATTTTCATGTGGACGTATTTTGTTGTCTCCCCGTTCGTTCACAATTTGTTTGTGGACACTCTACAGGTCACAATTTATCCGATTTTGATGAAACTTGAAATATAGGTTTATCTCCCAAAGATCTTGGTTCCTTTCGATGTTGGCATGTATTGATTCGTAACTTCATGGATTATGGCCCCTGATTGTACAGAAAATCAAGTTTTTAGCTTGTGGACACTCTAGAGGTCACAATTTTTATACGATTTAATGAAACTTGAAATATATGTTTATAACCCATCAATCAGTTCCTTTCTATATTCGCACATATTGGACCCTAACTGCCTGAATTATGGCCCCTTATTGAACGAAAAGTCACATTTTTAGCGTGCGGTCCCTCCAGATGTCACAATTTTTATCCGATTTAAAAAAAAGATGTTCACATATATCACCGTTTTAATTTAATGATTGTTGAGTTTGAAGTACGTGAAAATTGGACCAAAACTGCCTGACAAAATGGCACACCTTGTACACAAATAGTATAAAAATATGGTATATCAAGGTTGTGGACCCTCTAAAGGTCACAAGTTTATCCGATTTTGATGAAACTTTTTAAGTCTGTTTAAAAGGTATCACCATTACACCCTAATGACGGTTAAGTTCGAATTTTGTGAAAATCAAGACCTAAACTGCTAAAATGGCTGCTCCCTGTTCGCAAATAGTGTTAAAGTATGTAATATTAAGATTGAGGACCATCTATAGGTCACAGTTTTTATCCGATTTTAGTCGAACTTAAAAAAAATGTGTTAATATCCCAAAGATCTCGGGTTCCTTTCGATATTCGTGCATAACGAGCGACCGTAACTTCCAAGATATGGCCCCCTGATTGTATGAAGAAAAACAAAATGCAATTTTAGCTTATCAACCCTCTAAAGGTCACACATTTTATACTAATTTAAAAATTGTATAAGTATATCATCTTTAAACCCTCATGATGATTGTGTTCAAATTTCGTAAAAATCGGACCGAAACTGCCTGACAAAATGGACACTTCTTGAACGCAAATAGTGTTAAGTAAAAAAGTATGGAATACCAAGGTTGCGGACACAATAGAGGTCACAGTTTTTGTCCAATTTTGATAAAACTTAAAATATATGTTTATATCCCAAAGATCTCAGTTCCTTTTGGATATTTGCACATACATTTGTATCAGACCAAAACTTCCTGGATTATGGCCCGTGATTGTACGAAAACTCATATTTTTAGATTGTGGATCCTCAAGAGGTCACAGTTTTTATCCGATTTTAAAAAACGGTTTATATATAGCACTGTTACACCATAATGAATGTTGAGTTTGAATTTTAGGAAAATCGAAATGAAACTACCTTGAGCAAATGGCCGTTCCTTGTACACAATTGTGTAACAGTATGTAATACAAAGGTCGTGGACCCTCTAGAGATCACAATTTTTGTTTGATTTTCATGAAACTTAAAAATATATCTTATATTCCAAAGATGTCAGTCCCTTTCGATATTTGCGCATTTCAGGCCATAACTTCTTGGATTATGGTCTCTAATTGTACGAAAAATCACATTCTTTTTTTAGCTGGTTCTCTATCCATCTCTTGCAAAATGTGGGTGTATCTTGCATGGCAACCGCTTGTTAAGTCTTGCAGGTGTTCAAATCCATTTTAATCTCGGCCATCCGATGACCTAGAGAGTTGATTATGGGCTAGTCATGTGAATAAATTTCTAAAAAATAATTTATATAAGATTTGAAGCTAGGTAAAAGACCTGCAATAGGCAGATTTAATTCTTACATACATGTAATGCATCTTTAATTAAGGGGGGAGGCTATCCGAAAAAATTTATTCTGAAATGTTAAAACTATTATATTGAAAATTATAGGCCTACAAGTAGTTAGGAAATGTTATAAACAAATGTAATAACACATTTTTGGGGAAACAATTATGAAAAACATAGGTACACTATATCTCTGTAACTAATATATAAACTAATATCTACCACAGAATCAGACAGAAAGCAATTTGAATTATTAATATTTCAAAAGTTATCAAAATATTTCTCGAAAGACAAAATATTGTGGTGAGGCAAATATTTTAAACATCATTTTCTAAGAAACTATAAAAAATAGAGAGAAAAACTCTCTGTCTGGTTTTGGGGTTATCATTAAAGAATAAGCAGTCCGAAAATGAGACATTTATCTTTATTACTGTCACAAATATGGTGTACCTACGTTTTTCATACTTTTTTCCCAAAAATGTGTTATCCTGGCAACAACTTTTTTTTCTTTATTTTTAATGTTAGTTTTCCCTTGTTTATTAGATTTCACTAGCTTTAGAATTTCAGAAAGCATTTTTCGGGTAGCCTCACCCCTTAAAGAAAGATCTTACATACCATACTCAATTATTTGTGGTAATACGTACATGTATATTAACACTTGTAGAAGTAGCAATGGAATTTTCTGGGGTTTTTTTTACCCAAACCATAAAGATTATTATAAAAAGCTTGTTATTTATTTATTTTTTTTAATTAGACTTACAGACACGAGCTGTGAGATTCTGCGACACACAAGAAAATGCCTGTCCAGCGATTCCCTTTGATGGCATTCCTTTCATAATAATAGGAAGAAAGATATTAGAGTGCCATCAAGGGGTAGATCGTGATCTTAAACTGAAAGAGAAAAGAAGGCTGGAAAGAGAACTTTTGAGTGTAAGAGACCATTTTCCTAGAAATATTTTCCAATAAAAAATAAAATCTAGTAGGGTTACAAACTGAGAATATTTTAGATCTTGTTTTGCTTAGTTGAGTGAATTTTTGATATTTTAATGGATTATCTTTAATAGTTTTGTATATATTGTGAATTGTGTTTTTTTAGGAAGATGACAATAGCTTCAAAAAAAGAAAGAGGAGGCACCAAGAGACCAAAAAGAAATCTTGTCCCGCATTTATAAAAATTCGGCATATTGTTAAATTCCCAGATTACATGGTGAGTAACAAGCAATATTGTGTTTTTGTTATTATTTAGATATCAATTTGTTTGTGGACACTCTACAGGTCACAATTTTTATCTGATTTTGCTGAAATTTAAAATATAGGTCTATCTCCCAAAGATATTAGCATGTATCGGACCATAACTTCATGGATTATGGCCCCTGATTGTACGAAAAATCACGTTTTTAGCTTGTAGACATTCTAGAGGTCACAATTTTCACCCGATTTGGATGAAACTTTAAATACATGTTTATAACCCAAAGATCTTGGTTGCATATCGAATCGTAACTTCCTGAATTATGGCCCCTGATTGTACGAAAAATCACATTTTTAGCTTGTGGTCCCTCTAGAGTTTACAATTATGATCCGATTTAAAAAAAACCATTTGAATATATCACCATTACGCCATAATGTTAGTTGAGTTCGAATTTCGTAAAAATCGGACCAAAACTGCCGGACAAAATGGCTGTCCCTTGTATGCAAATAGTGTAAACATCTGGTATATCAAGGTTGTGGACCCTCTAGAGCTAACAATTGTGATCTGATTTTGATGAAACTTGAAATGCATGTTTATATCCGAAAGATCTTGGTTCCATTCGATATTCGCTCATATCGGATTCCAACTTCCTTAATTCAGGCCCCTGATTATACGAAAAATCACGTTTTTAGCTTGTGGTTCCTCTAAGAAGTTACAATTATTATCCGATTTAAAAAAAACCATTGAAATATATCACCATTACACCGTAATTTTGTTTGAGTTCAAATTTCGTGAAAATTGGACCAAAACTGCCAGACAAAATGTCTGCCCATCGTATGCAAATAGTGTAAACATAAGGTATATCAAGGTTGTGGACCCGCTAGAGGTCACAATTTTGATCCGATTTGGATGAAACTTGAAATTCATGTTTATAACCCCAAAGATCTTGGCTCCTGTCGATATTCGCGCATATCAGATCGTGACTTCCTGAATTATGGCCCCTGAATGTACGAAAAATCACGTTTTCAGCTTGTGGTCCCTCTAGAGGTCACAATTATTATCTGATTTAAAAGGAGTTTGAATTTCATGAAAATCGAGTCAAAACGGCCGGACAAAATGGACGCCCCTCGTACCGAAAATAGTGTAAACATCTGGTATATCAAGGTTGTGGACCCTCTAGAGGTCACAATTTTGATCCGATTTTGATGAAACTTGAAATGCATGTTGATAACCCAAAGGTAGTGGTTCCTTTTGATATTCGCGCATATCGGATCGTAACGTCCTGAATTATGGCCCTTGATTGTAGAAAAAATCACGTTTTTAGCTTGTGGTTCCTGTTGAGGTTTAAAAAAAGCATGTGAATATATCACCGTTACACATTAAGATCTTGGTTCCTTTTGATAATCGCGCATATCCGTACGTAACTTCCTAGATTATGTCTCCCGATTGTTTGAAAAATCGCATTTTTAGCTTGCAGATTCTCTGGACGTCACAATTTTTCCGATTTTAAAAAACATTTAAATATATCACCATTCAACCTTAATAAAGGTTGAATTCGAATTTTGGGAAAATCGAAATGAAACTGCCCAACAAAATGGCTGCTCTTTGTACACAAATTGAGTGAAAGTATGTATATGAAGGTTGTGGAACCTGTAGACGTCACAATTTTATCCGATTTTGATAAAACTTCAAACATAGTTTTATATCCCTTTTGATATTTGCCCATTTCAGACCATAACTTTCTGGATTATTGTCCCTGATTGTACAAAAAATCACGTTTGTTTTAAGCTTGTTCTCTATTCATCTCTTACAAGAGAGAGAGAGAGAAATGGGTTTAACAGCCACTCAACCAACACAAACTAGGTTATTTCGAGGTTAAATTTTACAATTTGCTTGTGCGTATGGGTCTTTAGCTGTGGGAGGTAACTGGAGGATTAGAAATAATCCATGAGGCTGAGTTGGAGCAATGACAGACCTTATGATTTAAAGCACAGGTGTTAGACCATTTCGCCACCCAACCCACCTAATTCAAAAACAAAGACTGTCTTGCTTTTATTCAACTATTACAATACAGGTTAAAGAAGATTGTAAAAAAAGAGAAAAAATGAGGATAAGTACACAGATAAAAGAACAACTAAGCCAACACACAATAAAAATGCAGCATCAGTTCATTATATTATTACCTACTGAGGAAGATCATCAAAACCATTTTAAAGGGGAGGTAATTATATGATTACATTTATATCAATATTAATTTGGTTTACTCAATAAAAATTAGTGTGGAAATTATGTACATATATTTTTGAACTACATTTAAAAAACTATGATTAAAAGATTGATAATAATCATGATTGAAAGTTCAGGGTGGAGATATGATTAAAGATGGGCTATTTAATTATTTGATACTTTTAGGCATTGCAGCTGGAACCCATTGAGATAGACGTCTCCAAGTTGCCAGTACCAACAAAATCAACGTTGGAAATAGCTTCTTCCACTACATCCGATATATGCAACCAGATAATGAGTTATTCACATGCCTGCAATGACATCAATGTTCTTCTTAAACTTAACCAAGAATTAAAAAGTTCTTTAGAATTTTTAACAATGTCATTAGACCAGATAGACCATTTCATTATTGAGGATAACCAGTTTACCTACATTGGATCAACGAATGCAACATAAAATTAGCTTATATTAGAACCTCCATTTCTGCATGTAGTGTCTCTCTGTGATTAAGGCACTAGCTAACTAATCAGTTGACTGAGAAGGTTCCTCTGGATTTCTCAACGTGGTTTCCCCTTATCAGTGTTGTGGGACGGAGGGTCTGGCAAAAAACAATGCCTAGCCCTTTGGATGGAATAGAAAACTGAGGTCCTGTGGAGACATTCGCGTGCATGTAAAAGAACCCTTGCAATTTGACAAAAGTGTAAGGGGAAACACCGCTGTTTGGCCAAAATGTCCCTTGTAACACACTGTATGACTGTCTTTTTTTAGCATTAGTTGATGCAGAAAAGTGGTTGGTTAAGAAAGTCGAAGTTAGACCCCATTTCATTTCCTTATATAGTTTAAAACAAGGGTCAATATTTATTTATTTTGACATATTTACATTGTTATAGTTCTTGTTATATTATGAATTTGTAATAAACTATAACATATACTTATGGAAAAACATCTACTTATTTATTTTTGCGACGTTTCAAAAAGTTTTCTCTCAACGTTACCGAGCTAAGTGGACTAATATAATATTAAAACAGTATCAGCTCCTATTCAGTGTGGGGATCACGTGGCTAAGTGGGTAAGATGCTGGCTCGCAAGCCTGGAGGTCGGGTGTTCCGATCCCTGCATTGGCCAAGAAAGTTCATCCAGATTTTCCGGCGTTGTTTCCCTTTGTCAGTGATGCAGGATGGAGGGCCTGACAAGGACAGCTGTCTAGTCGTTCGGATGGGACGAAAAACCGAGGTCCTGTGTACATATTGGCGTGCACGTAAAAGATCCCTTGGCAGTTGGAATTCGATATAAGAGTAGGCCGTAGCACTGCTGCCCGGGCAAAATTTCCCTCATAGCACACTGTATGGCGTATGCCCGTCTTCATTAGCCCAGTTTAGGAGCAGATCAGTACGATGTTAAACACCATTTCATTTCATTTCATTTCCTATTAAGTGTAATATTTTGTTTTATTTAGGTTCAAAGTCAGCTATGTGTAGTACAAGTTAATTCCATTTATTTCAACATTAAGTGGGTGACCAATGACATCATATTCTAGACCATCTTCGATCTGGTATTCTTCGTGCAGAATACAAAATAGGCAGTAAATGAACGAATCCCAATCATCATTTTTATACACCCACGTATTGTGTCATGAGAGGACAAAACATATTGATATTCGTACCAGATTTATGCCCCGTTTTCCAATAGCCTTGTGAAAGCGATAGAGGCTAGAGTTTATAACAGATGGTTGTCTAATTTGATGGAAAGCATTAATATTGAGGCCATGAGAAAATGAACCCTGTCGAATTTCAGCATCCTGCGACTTTTCGTTTCCAGAATTATTCCACTTTGCCAAAAATCCTTTTGAACGTGATAGATGATTTAGTTTTTAACAGATTTCTTTCAAATCTGCTTCGTAGCATTGGGGTCATGAGAGCATGAATCCTATCGATATTCATTGTTCTGCGACTTTATTTTTTGTAGTTATCCCCCCCCTTTGCCAACATCATTCAACAGATTTCTTTCAAATCTGGTGGGAAACATTTGGGTCATGAGAGGATGAACCCAATCGATATTAAGTCTTCCAAGTGATATTAAGTTTTACTTCAGATAAGCTGCTGTGTGGGCATGTGGCTATCTTCCATATTTTTGGCATTTAGGGGCCTACCAATTTTATTTTTCGGCGGAAAAAAGAAACCGACGCACAAGGATAAATAGAAGTTCTTCCTTGTGAATTTCTTAACCACCATGGATCAACATTATGCAATTTTTGTAAATCAAGGACAAACATCAATTATTACCTAAAGTAATTAATACCGGTATCCACAAGGAAATCCTCTGAAATAACTCTACTCTATTTCGAAAAGTCTGCAACAAAACACAGGATTGTAACAGAGGAGAGTGGGACATTGATCACAATACAATTAGTAAGACAAATAACTTTTTAATGTGTTTTATTGGATTGATTAGAGTAAATTGTATGATAACAAATATAACAGTAGTATCACAGCTAATTTAAACATTTACCCATTATTTAATAGATTTCTACATTTAACAAAATAATATATATAGAAAATAGTCTCCTGGACTGTTGAATACAGAGTAAGAAGTCGACTTTCACTTGAATCAGCAGGTCACATCAGTAAGTGACTTCAGATGTTGGTCATTGTGGAAAATGATTAAATTCCATAGACTAGGGACTGTCTAATAGGCTTGCAGTAACAATCAACAACAGTAACTATATATCCTAATCTTACTGTAACAATAACCAATAACCTTAAAGCATCAAAACTGATATCAACAAGAAGTTGAAGACACTTTATCTCCTTAAAAGGCACTTAACCCAATATAACATATTGACTCAACAAGCTGTAGTTGCTATCTTATTTATCTTTTTAAAAAAGAAACCGGTAATAAAAATGTTAAAATTCAACTCCTCTTGCGAAAAAAAGACATACCGTACTCAGAAAATACTGTCTTTCGAAACAGGAGCACCTGATTAAATTATTCTTATTGAAAATTACTGTATATAATCGGGCATAACAGAGTTTTTTCTACCCGAGATCAGACAAATGAAATTATCACTGGAATAATGAACTGATAATCTCCAGAACAAATAATTTATATCAATCAGACCTAAAGAATTCTATTATAATCAAACACAAGTAATGACTGGTATCTATATATTATTATACAAATTAAAAAAAAAAATATTATACATTTACTAAAGGACTAGTTCTACATTATGATGTATGACAATAAAATGTGCAATATACAATAATATAATATTACCAGATGTTTCTCCTGTGACATAAATCTACATTTGACACCTATTGACTCTGTAATATTTAGAATGCTAGACTATACAATCTACTTTAAGATTGTGACTTGGTAAAATCTGACCCAGATCAACATAATTCAATTACTTGCTTTACATCAAATCTTTTCCTCTCAGAAGGCAACAAATAGTTCATTATAAGAACATATTTCCTGTTTGGAGAACTTATCACTGTTGACTACAAAGATCTGTTTTCTAAAATCAATAAATCAAATCTTGATTTGTTCCAATCTGATGTCGATTACTTTTCCCTTTATTTTTCACTTCCCATCAGACACTCTTTTTCAAGAGGGTGTTTATATAAATTGCGTGGACTATCTGTATGGATATACAGGACTTGATTCTGTTGTGAATAATGTAAACATTAAAACCCAAGCACATAAGAGCGGACCTTATAAGACTGGTTATAAATAGAACTTAAAGTGACAGAACATGGTTGTGATAGAAAGTAGGTCAGATATAGTAGATTACGCTGTGTAAAATCGTAAAAAATAAACAAGATATTTATTCCTTACACCTATCTCTTATAACTTTACGGTTATTTTTATACTAGCAGCATACCCTACCGCGACCCGAATTCCACAGCCTAAAACATTCATGGGGCCATGCTTTTTAATTTGATATCGCGGCAATTCAGCATGATGGGGAGAACATACACATAGACATCTTTTATTTTATTTATATAGATTTCTGACACCTATTTCATGTAAGTTTACAGCTATTTTTATATTCCTGACACCTGTCTTATACAAATTTACTGCTATTTATTATTCCTTTTAACTGTCTGATATAAGTTTACTGGTATTATCATATTTCTTGCACCTGCTTAATATAAGTTTACTGGTATTTTCCTCGCACCTACCTAATGTAAGTTTACCTGTACATTTTTGATTCCTTACTCCTTACTCATAAGTTTAATGGTATTTATTTGTAAAAACTAAAATGAAATATGGTCTTAAATTCATTGCTACCTGTATAATGTAATCATTTCACATTTTGTGTTTTCAATGAAAACTGCCAGTTTTCCCCAAAAAAATGGCCTGGTTTTTATTACATTTAGAGCTCTTCAAACTAAGTTCAAATTGATATGGTAATATGCAAAAAATAAATATACATCACAAAAATAAATTAAGATTAAAAATAGAAACTATGCAGATATGTCATTCCATTGAGAAAATTTCATAGAATCCCGACCATAGTCAATTGGCATCTCTCTTGTATAATGGTCATTATCCCATCCTCTAGCTATTTGTCTTCTTAAGGCAGTATAAGGCATGTGGGCTTTAGGTATAGAAGGCTGTGGAATAAAGTCTTCTTGGTTGTAATATTCACTGTGTATAGGTTTAGTGTTATAACTGAAGGCTGTTCTAGGTCTTAACATTGTAACAGCGGGCACACGACGAGATATAGCATGACTTTGATGGTGTCTTGGTGCCCGTCCGATAGTGTAACTTTCACCGAGGTCCATATCTGTAAATTCAGAGAAAATATATTTAAAATCAGATAAGTCAACATAAATATTTCAGTTTAATCTCTTTGTTTCAAAATAAATTGTGTTGTGTAGTTAGTACAATGGACTCTAATTTTCAGGACATGTATGATGGACAGATATTTATCTATTGCATTATTTTCATATTCCTGAAAACAAGTTTTTCTAATACTGATAAATATATTAACATAATCATGAACTTACCATCAACAGAATAACCTAATCTATGACCATGTTTATCAGAAAGTCTTAAAGGAGCATTTACTTCTGGTTCTGAAAAATGAATATCATACATGTACATCAGGTATACACCGTATCTAACTATACAGATCTTCACAGAGAGGAATCTGCTAAAAGCTGTAGGTTACAAGTATACAATATTTAAGTATAATACAGATCTTCACAGAGAAATTCTGTTCAAAGCTGTAGGTAACAGAGGAGGTATACAATATCTAGCTATATCAAGTGCAGGATGGAGGGCCTGGCAAGAAATAGCATCTATTCATTCAGATGGAAAGAAAAGTCAAGGTCCTGTGCCTGTAAAAGAATCCTTGACAGTTGGAAATGTATGAAGAGTAGATAGAAAACCTTCTGTCCATGCAAACTTCCCCTCATAGCAGACTGCACAGTGTATGCCCATCTGTAGAAGTCCAGTTAGTGCAGAAAAGTAGGACGTTAAACCCCATTTCATTTCATTCAACAATTGGTGAACTGTGTCGCATTAAGCCTGCAAACATTAAAATACAAAATCTGGGATGGAAGATGGTTCGAGAATATGGATTCCTTTAAAAGCAGCCAGTAAGTATGTACATACAAATTTAAACTTTAGCTATATGAAACATATAATTGTTACTTACTTTGTGTGTCGAATAATGGTTCTTCTATAAATGAGTCATAGCTTACTCTGTAGTATTTATTATATGTACTGAAATAAATTAATTTCTATTGAATTCTAAAATTTATTCGAGAAAATCCTATTTTTAGCAGGGCATTTGAATCTAGCTGGGCAGTGTACATGTAGTTCACAATTTAACCTCACTAATGAACTCTAAGCTCATGTCGGAAAGAGAATACCGGATATATTTATCTTAAATAGCTTCACACCTGATGAGAATTTCATTTTTCACATTCTTATCGCTCCCTGGTTAATTTACCTGTCAGACAAACAGTTATTAGCCATTAATTAGAAACTTTTTAATGATATCAATATTTATAGTTCAAATTAACTAGTTTTATTCATCTAGGACTTCTCCTTAGTTGAGGACCCCTATATAGTTGCACACATTTTTAATGTAAAAACCAGTTACCAAGCATGGACATACGGCACCTGTCACAGCATGATCAGGCAACATATTATGTATACTCTTCAAAAAATGTAGGGGATATTGAAATGCAAATACCTATGCAGGTTGTGATATGATAAATAGTCATGGACACTTGACATGCTTTGAGAGTATGTTCACAGATGAAGAACTTATCGCCCCAACAGAACCACTGAGCTGCATGTGCGACACACAATAGCGCCATTCACGTGGGGGGTGTTCATTGACAAATTTGACACTTAAAGGAAGGGTGGATGAAAACTGCCGCTTTCTAGTTTATCCTATCCATGTTTGCTTTCCTATCGGTTCTTGCAAAAGATTTACTGTTTAGCATATCTTTTCTTTAGTGTGTTACGTATAATTTGATCGGCAAACGTGTTCGTAAGAGTATCATGCCTGGAAATAAGGCATCTGTCACAGACATTGTCAGACTTGCTAGTTACTGATACTTAATTCTAAGCAAAATCAATCTATCTTCCTACCTTCTTACACTTGGAATAAATCTGATTTTATTAGATCGAACAAATATTCCATGTTTGTCCATACACTGAAAATACCTCCTTCCGATATATGTTCCATTGTGATCTCCAACTGAAATATATACAATAGTCATGGGTGAATCAATGCACAAGCCTACTGACTTAGTTACAAAGTCTTCATCAAACATTATTCATGAAAGAATTTTAAAATTTTCTTTTAATTTTATACATTCAATACCTTTAATGCCTAATTAATAAATAAATAAGCCAAAAGTGGCTCTTGATATTCCAAAATAAACAGCCGACACTTATTAATTACTTGCACATTTATCTTTTAATAAAGCATCGAGCAACCCAATTGTTTATCACTCTAGCTACTTAAAGATACTTTCCCATAAAGTTTTTATAGGGTGGTTATTTCCAATAAAAGTATGTCAAATTTGGTATATATGGAAAGTACAGACATCGTCAGGGCAGATGTAGCCATGCCCTTATTTTGTTTATTACAAATAGTCGGATGAAACTAAATTAAAACAGTAAATCCGAAAACCAATTATTGTTTATATAATTTCATATTATATTTTATTTAAATCATCTTGAATAAATTAAAACAAAAGAACAGATGACCCATTCATTCTTGACATAATTTTAAATAATACTGTAAATTTACTGTAATATTGCAGTATTATAAAGTGTGTGTATGCACTTCTTGGGTAGTTCACCAGGTCCATTAACGCATTATAATCTGTAAAACCTGTCAGTTATAAGAATTACATTACAGATTATTAGCAGCTTATCTAAGGATCAATTCTTACACATGCACTAAATCCTACATATAAATACAAAACTAATCCCAAAGATTAACTGGTTAAAGGATTAATCATATTGGGTTGTGCTTGAGCTCAATTCAGGCCTTGAAAACTTGCAGTGTTAAAATAAACACTTTGTGGTTGATTAGATTCAGTATGTGCTGTGGTATAAATATAATAAGATTTAATCAGTACCAGTAAACACTGTTGATATGAACTTATTATACCCATTTAAAGATTAGAAAATTTACTAATCCATCACTCTATTTTGTACATCCACACAACAAAAATATTTATTTTATAGACTAATGAAATGAAATATGAGATTTATCTTCTTACTTTTTTTCAGCTTAAACCAGAGGTTAATGCCATGCAGTGTGCAATGAGAGAAATTTTGCCTTAATTGCAACTTGGGCCTACTCTTATTTCCATTTTTTTAATTTAATTCAATATAGTAGTAGAAGATTTTGCTGTATGGATGATCAATTATACAATTTTTAATATTTTGCTGTTGCTATTGACAGATCTATTGATTATTTTACAAATATAATTATATCAACTTATCAAGGGGGGATCCATATCCAATTGGTGTAAGTGGCTACTTAAATTCTGGTACCGGTTTAATAGAAGGAACAATACACATACAGAATATTTTTTTTTTCATTTAATTTCAATGCATTTCTATTGATCATGTTTTATTTTTTTTAAAAAAACTCACATCTTTCATCCAATGCTACTCCTACCCAATCTCCCTTTTTAGTGATAACGCATCCTTTATATTTTACAACGCCTCTACAAATTATTCCTTTCCATAAAACTTCTACAGGCTGTCCTTCGTTGATGTTTAAAAACAATACCATTTTGATAATCCTCGAAATAACACAGAAACTGGATACTTATAATGTTCGTTCAACATGTGCTTACACGCTAAAATGTTCAGCGGTTCTTTACATATGCAAATCAAAATGTTAATGAAGCTGTCATTCGCTTATCAAACGGGCACCTGCAACCTCCATATTGTTTACTTTACGTCACATCCGTTTCTAGGAAAATAAACATGACGATAGTATGCGAGGCTTTGTGAGACTTTAAATCCAATATGGAGTATTTTGAGAGAAATTTTCAAAAACTTACCAAAAAATGCAACAATAGGCATGTAAATATTCAAAACTCAAAAAAAAAGAAAGAGAGAAAACCTAACAGATTATAAAAGCTTACCGTACAATTGTTGAAAATAAGCAATTGCTCAGTCAACGAATGTTGACGTTGTTTATAAATTTCCATTCCCCCATAAACATAACTTTTCATGCGAGATACCGGTATCTGTGTATATATCGAGAGCTCAGATAGTCAGAACCAGAAATGAATTTCTCCAATTTTTCCGATTTTGAGGTTTTGTTTACTTTCAATTTTATTTTGTTTTATCTTTATGTGACAAAAGTATATGATCTGTCTACGACGACAGCCAATCAAAATGCATAAATACAAATAACAATGCACTGTCTCAGTCTGTTTTTGATTAATTTAAAGCCCACATTGGCCACATCATAAACAGTTTCGACCAGAAGTGGATATTTGGCACACGGTCACTTCTAGCACTAAAATACTCATGCCAGAACTGGTTATATTCTATATGACACATATTTTCTTCTCGCTGGACTGTTTTGGGCTATTACTATTAAGAGTAACATCGCTTTAGCAGCAAAAAGCAGGACATGGATATAATAAAAGTTGATACTTGATATCATGTTGTTTCAGTTAATATTTTGAATAAAGAGCTTTGTTACATGGATAAAACCATTTAATTGATTTACAAACCACTATTCACCAATTAAATATCAACCAAGAATGTTCCAAACTTTTCTTACCAGAATTTAATATAGGCCTATACCATTTAATTTGAATATTTTACACTTTTATGGACAAAATATCCCAATTTTGCTATAATATCAAAGTTATTATAAACCAACAAAAAACAAAGAGACAAAATTCTAAATAGATGTATCCTTATCTTGATTTAATGCAAGCTTTCAAATATTCGAAGGCCATTATCTCAAAATCATGTTTTTGGAAATAGGGCCTATGCACTTCTGGTTCTTAGCCCTCGATATGTACAATGATTAAAAGCATAGCCACGTTCATTTAAGGCTTATCATTCCTTATTGAATTTCTTTAAAGTTGAAACCTAATGAACCAAAGTAACCATTAAATTAGATACACGTCTTAAGCCAAGGCTTTTGTGCAGCAAATAAAAATGTTGTAACACTACTATAGTATGCAAGGAACTTTCCGATTTCCATATATGAAAAATAATCTACATTAGGCCATAATTTTGCATATGTTTTTCAGATAAACAGGATTGGTACATGTAGTGTGCAATTGACAATAAAATAACTATCTGGATTTGCATTTTCATGATATAAGATAAAACATCATAAATCCACAATGTCTCGTCCAAGTGATAAAGAAGGGAAGGAAACAAAGGTTGTTGGCAGTTTAACGATGGAATCGATGAAAGCGATATCAGAATCTGTAGCAATACATGGTATAGCGGATCAGGCAGCAGGTTTTTTAGCAGATGATTGTACATATAGAATGAAACAAATAGTACAGGTAGGATGTTATAGAACACATACATAATTAGTTCAAGAAATGAAAATGCTTATAAATCAATGAAAACTTCTATGAGAGATTTCGGAATTTAACATCATCAAATTCCAATGTTAACATGTGAGCATGATGTTTTCATGGTCACGTGAATGCATAAAAAATATTCTCTCAAACACAAAATATCAAATTTCTACTTGGGCTATAAAATGTGGAAGATGCAATGATATGCCAAGGTTGACACCTCGACCCCTAGAATGCACCATTGCATTAATTCCAGAGGGCACGAGTGCCAGAGCAATCAGCCAATAGTTTCCAGTCTGGACAGGCTTCACTAAAAATCAGCTAATTGCAATATGTGACAATGCCTCGACAAGATAGCATATTATCAGGCAATACCTTTATCTGCAGGATGGCATACTGCTAGCTTCCTTGTACTGCTGCTTACTATGTTTCACTATAAAGTTGTTATGGCCTCAATGAGTTTATTTTCTTGTGTTGGTAAATGTCCAGCCAACGAGCATGCTGAAAATCTTTCAGCCAGTCAAATCAGCCGTGTGTTTTCATTGCGTTTATATCAGATGGAAATTGATTCAGACATTTGTACATCCTAGAAAACCACATGCACATACATGTCCATGCAGACAGCCACATCAGTAAACAATTTGGAGAGCTTTTTTTTTTTATCTTTCCTGCCTTTTATTCATTTCAAGCACTAACTTTTGATATATTTGTAGGAGTCAATAAAGTTTATGCAGCATGGTAAAAGAAGAAAACTAACAACTAATGATTTTGATATGGCTCTAAGAGTTAAAAATATTGAGGTGAGTATATGAGTATATAAATGAAATAAAATGAAATGGGGTTTAACATCCTACTTTTCTGCTCCGACTGAGCTAATGAAAACGGGTATAAGCCATACAGTGTGCTATGAGGGAAATTTTGCCCGGACAGTGGCGCTACGGTCTACTCTTATATCGAATTCCAACTGCCAAGGGATCTTTTACGTGCACGCCAATGTGTACACGGGACCTCAGTTTTTGTCCTATCCAAATGACTAGACAGCTGTCCTTGTCAGGCCCTCTGTCCTGCACCACTGATAAGGGGAAACCACACCGGAAAATCTTGATAAACTTTCTCGGTCAACACCAGGAACGAACACAGAGGTGAGTATATACATGTAAATAAATTTATTACTTTCATTTCAAGTAACACTTCCATTGAAACTTAATGACCAATATATTATTGAAACAAAGAAAATTGCATGTAGAAATGTCATCAGATCTATTTATTATCTGATTCACTCAATTCTAATTTCTTTTTCCTGCAGCCTTTGTATGGTTTTCATTCACCAGATTTAATACCATTTAGATTTGCTAGTGGTGGAGGGAGAGAACTCTATTTTAATGAAGAAAAAGAAATGGATTTACAAGAGATTGTTAATACTCAGTTACCTAAAGTACCATTAGATATTGCCTTGAAAGGTACCCTATGCTTCATTTTATATATTTAAAGAATAGCATAGAAATTGATAGAATAGAAGACGAGAAAGTTGGGTGATCTTTTGGGTGTTGCCACGAAACTTAATAATATTTTATAGCCTGGTTTCCAGTTGTAATGGCTAATGCCTGTGAGGTTGATAAGGAAAGTGTGTCTAGTCTTTTGGATTAGACATGATATCAAGATGACATCAAGTGTACACATTGTCATGGATGTAAAAGAACCCTTGGCTGTTGGAATTCTAAGTGGATTGCTATTTTAGCAAAATTATATTTCTCATTATTTATGCAAAGACATAAATATGAACAGCTTAATCATATCATAGATAAGAAAATAATTTTTAGACTTGTCTTTCGTATAAAATATTTTTTTAAATTTTGATTTTATGGGATTATAAAATGCTTCATATATATGGTACACTCTTTATAGCACATTGGTTATGTATTGATGGAGAACAGCCAGCTATACCAGAAAACCCACCACCTGCTACTAAAGAACAACAAAAAGCTCAAAGTTTAGACACAACTATTAAAAGTCAAATAGATAAAGTTAATAAACCAAAAACTAGCGGAGAGGGGAAGTCAAGATTAAAACTTAAAGGTGCTGATATGGTTAAATTAAAAAATATTACAACACATGAATTATCAGTGGTGAGTTGTTTTATTTGATATTAATTGGTAATTGCTTTTGCTGGATTAAAATATACGTTCCCTCAAAGTTAATTAGGTCACTTCTTTAAACCCACAAAATCTGAAAATATAATGTCTTTAAAGACCAGAAGAAATAAAATTGTAGATGTTTATGTAGCCTGAAATATTTCTGGCTGTCAACCTGTAAAATGGCAGCCATTTGAATACAAGACACAAGATGGGTTATGATATAGATGTAGTAAACATCTAAGACAGCAGAAGGAAATATGTGACCATTGCGCACAACCAAATTATTGAAATAAAATTGTGTAATATACTCTTCAAAAAAAGTATCTGACAGCCCCTTTTCACTCGCAAAGAGATAAACCGTCAAAAGTGAAAATGGACGTTTTTGATTTTGGTCTTAATAATGAGTAATTGCTCCACCAATCCTCAGACGTTCAGCAATTCGTCGTGGCATGCTCCTGATCAACCGTCCAATCACGATTTGGGTCAATCTGACCCACCCCTCTTGCAGTGCCATGGCCAATTCTTGCAGTGTTGTCGGTTGACATTGACATACACGTCTCCCGATCAAATTAAACGTAACATACTAAAGCAAAGATATGCTAAACAGTAAATCTTATGCAAGAACCGATAGGAAAGCAAACATGGATAGATAAACCAGCACACGGCAGTTTTCATCAACCCTTCCTTGAAGTGTCAAATTTGACAATGAACCCCTCCCACGTGTATGGCGCTATTGCATGTCGCACGTAATGCTCAGTGGTTCTGTTGGGGCAATAAGTTCTTCATCTGTGAACATACTCTCAAAGCATGTCAAGTGTCCATGACTATTTATCATATCACAACCTGCATAGGTATTTGCATCTGAATATCCCCTACTTTTTTTGAAGAGGATATGTTATTCATAAAATGACATAGTTTGTGTTAAGTGGGTATTAAACCACATTTCTTTCTTGTTCTATTGAATTTATGTCAATGAAAATCAGACTGTCAATATAGCTTTATTTTTATTTATTACAAATTCTAATGATTGTAGGTGCTATTGATGTTTTGGGCTGTTTACTGTTAGAGATGTTAAGACAGTTAATGGAGTAATTGATACTATCGTTACAATACTTTAAGATAATTTGAATATTATTACAGGAACAACAGTTATATTATAAAGAAATAACAGAAGCTTGTGTTGGATCAGATGAAACTAGAAGATCGGTAAGATACACAGAACTGTTCACTATATGATACACATATTTCCATTTCCAGTTCTCTCTAATAAGTGTAAAATAAAACCCTGCTAAAGAATAATGTGTTATTAAAAAAAAACTTATGGAAAAAGAGCTACAACTATAAGGCAACATTTTATTAGAGTATTCTGGGGGGTTGGATGATCTAGTGGTTTAACAGTTTTGCATGAAATCAAAAGGTCTGTCATTGAGTCAACTGACACGGTTATGGTTCCCCGCTTGAACATGACAAGAGGTAGGGTAACCTGTCCAACCTTGTAGGTTTTCTCTGGGTCCTCCAGTTTCCTCCCACAGCTAATGACCCCTACGAGCGAGCAAATTATTGAAATAAAATTGAACCCTATGTTAGTCCTGAAATTACCTAGTTTGAGTTGAGTGGACCTCTCTCTCTCTCTCTCTCTTAAAGAGTACTCTATCTACATAGGTATAATACAATGTTTAGTTTATATATGATTTATATCAACATGTTTGTTATATTTTATGTTATAGTGGTAAATTAATAAAGTGTTTTCAGTGAGTTTAACTCAGTTACTTATTTTATAGGAAGCATTACAGAGTTTAGCTACAGATCCTGGTCTACATCAGATGTTACCTAGATATAGTTCTTTTATATCAGAAGGGGTAAGATTTATATATTATTATAATATGTAATTATTGTAAAACAAATAATGGTTGGTGTCACGAAAAAGCAAACATTGATTGGGGTTGCTGTAGCTCTTAATGTGTTAGGGGAATGGTCTATTGGTTTAATGTGTGTAGGTGGTATCGCAAGATCTGTCATTGAGTCAAGTGGCGTGGATTTGATTCTCTGCTTGTACGTGACAAGGAGTAGGGTCGCCTGTCGAACCTCATTTGTTTTCTCCACGTCCTCAAATTTCCTGCCATAGCTAAAGACCCCAACGTGCAAGCGAATTATTGAAATAAAATTGAACCATGTTAGTCTCGAAATGACCTAGTTTGTGTCGAGTGGACGTTAAACCCCATTTCTCTCTTAATGTGTTATGAAATGTGATTCCCAAGGCATATGTAATTTTTGTATTAATTTCATTTATGCGAGATCAAGGCCCTTATTTATAGTATGGTTCTCTGGTTTCCTTCCATCTCTACTAAAAAATAAAATAAAATTTACCCTACGTTAGTCCCGAAATGATCCAGTTCTTGCCAAGTGGACATTAAACCCCATTTACGAAGACAAGAAATGGAGTTTAATGTCTCGTCAGCCCATACTGTTGTTATTCAGCCCCAACAGTAAAATTTCTACCTTCTCTTCATTCAATCAACTAATTAAATACATGCACACATGTATAAAGATGGACCTCATTTTCTTTTCTATCCACACGACTTCTCATCCCATAACAATTGAACCACTATAAGGTTCATCATAAGGCTTAGGATATTTGAATGGAGAGATCAGAATTTGATAATGACTACACTACAAACAGTACTCATGAATCTACCAAACATTTACTACTTTAAATAGTTTCAGCAAATGAAATCACCACCCAATCTCAATTGATATTTTATAGCCGCTTTGAAAGTTTTTCCTAATATAGAAATGATGATGTGTTATATGAGAATTATTTATGATAATTTGTACTTGTTTTTATTATTATACAGGTAAAGATTAATGTGGTCCAACATAATTTAGCTTTGTTAATATATTTAATGAGAATGGTTAAATCACTGATGGACAATCAAACACTCTTCTTAGAAAAATATGTAAGTAAGAATTCAAGAATGAATTTAATCATAAGGGGCCATCTGTGATATTTTTTGATGGATAAAACTGGTTAATTCCATGTTGGAGATTCCAAGAAATGTTCATCCTTCTCCTAGTAGCACTATATGAACGTCTGTGATACTTTTCAAAGAAATACAGTTTATTTTGTTGGATTACTGATGAAAAGTTTCTATATTCTACCCTATATATTTCTGGATGAAATTATCTATAAGCTTGCTTTAGTTAAAAAGTTTTTGAGCTGGTCACATTGATCTGGTCACAATTAAAAGGGAATTTCTGTAACTGAGTTACCCTGCCTGTTAAAACAATTTTTGCAATCATTTCCAAATAGTTTAATATTTTGAGCTGAAACCACCCAGTAAATTTCTTTACGTTTTTTTTTTTACTTTATCTAGTTTCGTGAACAAGTATTTGTTTCCTGTTCTTAGGAAGAAATTTTGACAAATTGTTATTGATATTTTTTCTCTCGTTATATTGATATATTTGTTGAATGATGTTCGATCACACCATGTATGATAATGTTATAATTGTAGTTACATGAAATGATACCAGGTGTATGTACATGTGTTGTTAGTAAACAGTTATGTTTAAGACCAGATGTTGATAATCATTGGGCTTTACGAGATTTTGCTGCTAGATTAATGGCACAAATCAGCAAGTAAGTTCTTTATACATTTATAGTCCTATTCAGTAAAATTTTGACAGATAATGTCAATGACTAGGGTTTTATTGAACTCATTACACACTGTAACTCTTTTCAAAATTAGGAATGGATAGTTTCTTTTAAGTTGAACAATTAAGAAATTTCCACAATAGTATAGTCACCATTTTGAGGAAAATTGAATGATATGCATTTTTAATTTGATTTGATTAAAATATACTTGGTTATTTTATAGAAATTTCAGCACAAATACAAATAATATACAAGCCAGAACAACGAAGATGTATACACAGGCTTTACGAGATGAAAGATCAGCTTTAGCTACTCAATATGGGGCTGTAGCGGGATTGGGAGAATTGGGAGCAGAGGTAGGATCTAGATAATATATAAAATATATAGTGTCTATTATTTGCACCCACTTCAAATCTTCCCAGTCTGACAAGCATGCTTTAATTATTTAAATCACCTGGGATCGTCATTTCTGTTTAATTTGCCATTTCTGTCTGCACTGGACTTTTTTGCCAGATGTAAAGAATTTAATTTAATAAAGTAATTTAAGATGTTTGAAAACAGGAATTTCCTTAAAGCTGTGTAAAATATTTCATGTTTGTTTGTTCCAGGTTATAAAAACATTTTTGGTACCCAATTTAAAATTATTAGGTGAGAGAATGAGAGCAGCAATAGAAGGACCAATAATAAATAATGTAGATAAAATAGCTTCTGATCATATCAAAAAATTATTAGCAGTAAGTAATTGATAATATGTTGTTATATCCTTTTTAATTTATAAGATTTTACATATTCATATTACGTCCTTTTTAGATGTATTATCAATTTTCTTGTAGACATACTTCAACCTCAAAGGGCCGTGCTGGGTTGTGAGTCTTGATCTTTAACATTCGAATTGCTATTAAGTGACACAGTTATGCTATTTTCCTTATAATGAGGTGTGCATGGAATTGTGACATAATCAAAACCAGTGGCTTGTTTTCAGCTATGGCGATTGGTCGAAATAGTATTACCTAAAATGTTTATTTTTACTCAATTATTGACCTATTCCACATAACAGATGGAATTCAGTACTAGAAATTTCAATCGAGTAACCCTATTCTTACTCATGTTTGATTTAAGAAGTGACTAAAATATATAACAGGATAATATAGGAAAAAAATCTGCTGTGAGAGTTTAAGTTATTATAGGGGAGAATTGAGTTCCAGAATGGTTAGACAATAGCATTAAGATAAGATGTGTTTGTTATTTTGTAGAAGTATATGCCATCTGTATTAAAGACTATACATCCTGTAACAGATACTGTAGATGATTATACTAGAGAATATGGTTATTTAGGTCCAGGTTTACATTCAGCTGTTATAAAAGAAAGATCTACGATAATAACACAATCAACAACAAAACCTTCACTTAATATACAACAGGTCAATTATACTTTTATAAAATTATATTTTAGGTACTTTCTGCATGCCAACATGGGCATTTTGATTAAACATTTAGTTAAATCAAATAAGCTTTACTGCTCACAGGATTTTCCAAACTGGGCTGCTGGCAGTCTATTAATAGAAATGTAGGTTTTGTAGAATCCCCCCCCCCCCCCCCCATAAAGAGCAGAATTTAGAGTTCTTCATCTACAAACTTCTTTGTATTGTGGTTATTACACTTCTGACAATCCTTCACCTAGGAAGGATATCTACTAGAGACATTCACTTGTTCCAGTGAACATAACAGTTGAGTAGTATTGTGAATTCCTGACCCCATTCTCTCCTATTGTATCTGTTTTCCTGGGTTTTGTTTATTACTAGCTAATGGTCAAGTGTCATAGAAGTCCCAGTCATTTCATTTACTGTTTTCTTTTTTTTATCAGGCACAAAGAATAGTTATACAATCTGGTACTTCTTCACAACCTAGTACACCAACTACACCTCGCTTTCCTACACCTGTCTCAGTTCCACGAACCCCAACTACTCCATCTATACCTGGTCAACAAAAATATGTTATAATGACATCACAATCACGTCCTACACAGCCTACTGCACAATCAATTTCACTGACCAGTGGTTCGACATCTTCAGCACCAACCATTGTCAAGCTGGTCACAAATCCAGCGCAACAACAGACAAGCACAGTAGGCTCCTCACAAAGTGCAACAGTTCAGGGACCATCAGGACAGAAGTATGTTGTAATGTCATTACCAAGGGGAGAGGGAGGTAACTCTCAAGCGACCAGTACAAGCACAACAGGAAGTAATCAAGATCTCGGTGTAAAGACTATATTTACAGGAACACCTGGCAGTTTATTAAATGTTAAAAAAGAAGGTGATCCTCCTACTTGAACATCAGCGGTAATTCAATAAGCTATATTGTGTGATAGTAAATACAATATAAAGACAATAACATTGAAAAATATTTAACATGTGTATGCGTACTGCTACTAGAACAGTTTAAAACAGTAATATTTGTATTGGTTAGATCATGTGATACTGTAAATAACCACAAATTGTGAACAGATGAAATTGCAAGTCAATTTGTTATTGGATCATAGAAAATCTTGATCAAGAACACAAAATATTGTTTTCTTTTCCAACTGAAGATAACATGTATTTAATACCAATTCAACAATCAACTCCAATAACAGGTGTGTTTTCATCCAGGCTTTGATATTCCATTTTTATGCATTATTAAATGTCATGTTTGTAACCTCTGGAGATGACAGTTAGGTCTACATTTGTGTGTGTGTGTTAAAAAAAGTAAAAACTAATAATGCTGGATACAGTGTTTCGGTGTGGCAACTTTAACCCTTGTGTCAATAAGTTTGGAGAACTAAGAATATTTTTTTCTTGAAAGAGAAAAAAAAACAAAGAAACAAATTGATATCAAAATAACAATTTTTTTTAGGTGCGGTAACATCTGGACAATTTTATGTCTAAACTAAAAATAAAACAATCATTATATATTATCACACATAAAAATTTTGAAATTAACTAAATAAAGAAAATTTACTTCCTTCTAAATAAATGAATACAGGGCTTGTCCGACCCATAATATGCCCACTGGGGGGGAGACTGTAAAAATCCTGAATTTTTATGTTGTTCTTACTTATGACTCAATGAGCAATCCTTGCAAACTGAACAAGATATCTGTCAAGAACTCTGACCTATACAATGTTGACAAAAAATTGTGCACAGACAACGACAATATAGGTTCACATTATCTTAATATTTTTAAGGTGTATAAAAACAATATTAACAACAATTGGCATGACATACCAAAGTATTTTTTTTTTTTTTTTTTAAACAATATTTTTATTCATTAAATCTGAATTTGGATTGGGGAACAGGCTATGCCTATGTGTAACCCCTCTCTCTGATTTAGGTACATGTACACATTATAAATATTTACATACATACATACATACATACATAATTATAGAGCATATATGATACATCATGGATAATATAGAGACTTAGATGATTATACAGAGTGCAGGGCTTGGAATGACTTAAGAGTTGTTTATGGAGATTTAAATCTTTTTGATAAGGAAATAAATTGTTGGACTTCTTGGAAAATAAGTGTGTTTATCTCTGGACTAAGTTTTGTTGACCCATACAACAGACAACTGATTGTTTTATGATTATGTTGAAGGTTATGGATTGTCCGTTTTCTTGCATCTGAATATAAGTGGCATACGAGTAAATAGTGTTCGGTATCTTCGAATTTGTGACCACAGAGGCAAGCAGGGCTATCATCGACGTGTCTGAGGAATTTATGGCCTTGTAGGTTCGAGCAGCATAATCTTAGTTTACAGTGGATTATTTGTAATTTTCGTATCCCAGTATAGTAATATGATGGCACGATGGTGTCTAATTTATTTAGTGAATTTCCAAAGATAGCAAGGGATCGAGAGTTTCTAATTTCAACGTTAAGTTTGTTCCATTCTCGTATACTGGAAGGGATGAAGGACTCTGAGAAAATTTCGGTTCTGCATCTGGTTTCCTTTAGTTTATCTTTGTTTCTAAGGGTATAATTGATAGGGGTAGAGGACAGTTCTAATAGGTCAGAGAGATATGATGGAACGAGGTTGTTAGTAATTTTGTACATTAATTTTAATTTATGACGTCGACGTCTTTCCGAGAGTGGAACAAACCCAGTCTCTTTATAGAGTAAGGCATGGCTAGTACCTCTTACCGCCCCACAGATAGTGCGCAGTGCATCTAATTGTAGGGATTCTAGTTTGTTAGCTAAATAATCACTGCACCCATCCCAGATAATGTCGGCATAATCAAAGTGTGGAAGGATAAAAGAAGAGTATATTATGTTTCAAGATTTTCTATTTAATCGATATTTTAGAGAACGAAGGCAATTTACTAGTTTGGATACTTTGCTTACAATGCTATCTATATGATTATTCCATTTACAGTTAGTTTGAAAGATTAGACCTAGATGTTTATGTTCACTTACTTCTTTGATTTGTACCTGGTTCATAAATAATGGTGGGTTAACTATGTGGGGTTTAGTAGTAATAGTCAGTGTCTCTGTTTTTAGGGGGTTAAAAGTTACCAGCCATGTCTCAGCCCAATTTCTGATTCGATTTAAGTCATCGTTAATGGTAGCAGCACTTGCCTCTGGGTCTTCAATTTTTAAGTATAAAGAGGTATCGTCAGCAAATAATCTAATGTTTGAATTTATATTGTTCACAATATCATTTATGTATATTAAGAATAAAAGAGGGCCTAGTACAGATCCCTGTGGAACACCAGCAGGGATGCTTCTGGGGTCCGAGGAGGTGCCACTGATGGTTATACTTGTTTTGCAATTTTTTTTAATCACAGTAGATTGCTGTTGTCGAATATGATTATATAACTGAAATATGCCCCCTCAACCTGATCATGTGAATTGACTAACTATGGAATGTACTACCTTGTGCTTTCTAAAAGATTATTTTCAATTAAATTAGACATAAACATCTTAGTTAGTCATTTAACATGAACTCAGATGATGAAGTTTATATAAGGCTACTAGTACTGCTTCATTATACATGCCTCATGGTGATTTTCGGAGATTATCAGTCGGTCCCCACCAGAATAAGAATTATATAGGTGATATAATTTAAAAGAGAAGAGTAACTTATAGGTAGATCACTACACTGAAAAAATCATGGTAACCTGGTTAGGTTTTGATATGATCTCTGATAGCCAGAGTCATGTGAAGAACATGGGGCATGTATAATATGTTTACAGTTATACTGTATCAATGATAAAAGAACCGTACTAGAACATATATAGAATATGACTATCTATAGTTCAGTGACCTCAAAAAGTTTTACCATAACTTTATATCACTATATAGTAGTGATTTCATTTAAACTGTAGCTGTAAACACTACTTCTCTTTGGTTTATTACAAATAATTTATATACTGGGTAAGTAACAAAACTAACAACTCCAAACAACAAAGGAACTCATTGATGAATTTATTCAAATAGCTAACTTATACATTTTTAATGAAATACTGACATAGTCCACAAGAAAGGGCGTATTTCTAGTTCAAACAATAATCTGATCAAATAAATGATAAAACTCATTCTATAATCAATAGCATCGACCACCTATTATTCAAATGAATGATTAATTCGGCTATATTAAATAGTTTGAGTTTATTATTACATTAACAACAGATTACAGGTAAAATTGTTTTGCCCACAGAACCATTTTGCAAATCTTTGAGCATTCTGTAAACTTCAGATGGACATAGATTATTACAAATTTCCAGTGTGATGAGCACTCCCATTTTATTTTTGAGAATTCAATTCTTTACCAAAACCCACATATAACATTAAGTTTTAAATTATTAAGTTCAATGAAAAATAAAATAATTACTGGTAAAAATTCTGCCATTAGTTTAAATGAACTAAAATATATATATATCTTTTTGAACTAATGGCAGAATTTTTACCAGTAATTATTTTATTTTTCATTGAACTTAATAATTGTTTAATAATAAGTTTTGCGTTAACACATGTATGTATGTATATATATACATGTGTTAACGCAAAACTTAACAAATGAACTAAAATAAATTGGGATTACAAATGATTACATATTAAAACATTTACTGCTGTACAACCAAAACCATACACCCCTTATTCATCACATGATCAGCTGAAAATCCACAACTAAATTCTGAAAGCAATTGTGTGCTACAAAAATATATTGGGGGAAAAACTAAACATTGACACTGTATGAACCATGCTTCGAGTGGTTTTGCTAGGAAGGTAGAATGATGGGACTGACACTCTTTTAATACACTTTCTAATTTCCTGTTTCATCCCCTCACAGTGGAGTATATCCTTAAGCAACTTCATAAATGCCAATCAAATGTAGATTAACTTTGTATAAATATTAATTGACTACCATGTCCCAATTTTTTCTCTACAATTTGTAACATCCAAGTGCACAGATGATTGGTATCATGTAATTTATTGTTCAATATCTCAATTATTGACTTGGTTTCATACCATATGGAGACAAATATGGAATGGAACAGACTTCTGAGAGAATGAGACATTCAGATAGTGCAAGTTTTAAACAGGACAGTTATATTTCCTTTTTAAATTACATCAATTTTACAAGTGATATCTCTTAGAGAATCAACCAGGCATGTGGAACTCATGGGGCATGTAGAACATGGTTGTACCTACAAACAGAACATCCATAACTGAACACACTACAAGTATTCAAAACCCTTTATCTCAATATTGGAAAGTAATGTCAGAAAAATCAGACATTTATATTTACCCACAGATTTTCATAATAGAATAAATAGGATTTCATCAATACAAAACTACATCTGTTTGTAATTAACAGGTGTATCTACAACTGTCTAAGATGACCTTACGTTACATTACTAAACTTCTCCGTAAATTATCTCTAGATCTGTGTTTTACCTAAAGTGAACTCTGCCAAATAGTAAAAACACTGGATCAGATTTTCTCTGATAAAGTAAATTCAGGTTATTTGGTAGTTTCTACATACAAGTACAAGCTATAGAGATGATAGAATTACCAAATTCAAATATGTACATGCACAATACTAATTGACTTCATGACTTATCATTAAAGAAAAAACTTCGCTAATCATACCAAATACAACACATTTTTCAAATGGAAGCTGTATCATCAAAGAGTCTAACTTACAATGAGTTTTACAGCTATCTTGGCTGGTTGGCAAAGAGGGATGGTTATTGAGACTAGATTGGAAATCTTAAAGGAGCTACCGCTCTTTGATTTAAGTCTATATAAATTATGTATTTGAGTTGATCTGATGTGTTACTGCTATTCGTGATGGTGCAAATTCTATACAATGAGATTTTTGTTCCAAAAGATTAATCAGAAGTTTGCTTTATTAGTAATTTTAGATTCATTTTTGGCTTATTTTGTTGACAGTTCAAAACACAAAATCAGTTAACTTTCAACACTGGTTTTTACTTTAGACTTAAATTTTCAGTGTAGAAAGTTTGTCATCGCACACAACAAATCAACATTTGAAATCTTTACAGTTACATCAACCATACTGTATTAAATATTAAGTAAATACTTGACTAGTAAAGGGAATGTTATCATTATCACTAAATATTACTTGGGATCATTTCAACTTTTTGTGCTTGCAATTACTCAGAAGAATTATAAATGTACAGTGATTTCTCAACTCTGACCTTAAAGGCTTGATGCATCATTTGTGCTAATATATGAAGTTTCTCATGGCTTAATCCACAATAAATATGTACTTAGATTGATTATTGTATATTTAGATAAAGAGCTGACAGTTCTCACAATAATAGTTTAAAAATAGAAAATGAGAAAGGAATATAGTGAAAATTTTAGTCAAATTACTTCATCCTGAGCTGAGTTATAAATGTTTGATGAATAGTATCGTCTCGATTTTCATTGCTACCATTGTTAAAATAATAAACCAAGTCTTGATTATCCATTTTAAATTAAATTATTAAATGTGGATCATGTTTCAATGTGTCCAACTTGTCATGTGAATAAATGTATAATTAACAATTTATATAACATTTAAGGCCAAAAGAAAGATCCGCAATATGCAGATTTAGCCCTTACATAATGCATCCTTAAAAGAGTAAACTTTCACAATATTGCAGTTTGCAAGGGATTCCTATAGCACTAGATGATGCATCACACCTTGAATTAAAGTCACACTACATTAAAACAAAAAGTAAGTTTTTTCTTACATTAATTTTAGGATGAGATTAATTCTTGTTATTGTACATTTTGATAGGTCCTTTATTGTAAATGTTTTGTTATCTAGGGTGTATAAACAAATGTGGATAAAAATGACAATAGTAAACCCATCACAAGCACAAAACACTCACCAAAAATATATTCAGATTCACCAGAAAATGTTAAATGTTGGATTTTTAAAATTATTACTTGTAAGTTGTGTAAATTAATCACTGGTCTTTATAATAATATCCTCAATTTTTTTATATTTTTTTTTAGATAAAACTTTCATTAAAACATTAATTCATTAAAAATTACATATAATTCAAAAGTAATTTCATGTCTTTGTAAATTAAAAAACAAACAAAATCTAAAAACAAATGCTTATCGTTAAACCAAGTGTGTGTTCTCGTTGATATTTTCTTCTAATTCGTTACATGTTTTATCATTGGATACTTTTTCTACTGTATTATCGTTCACACTTGCACCATTTATGCCATCACTAGAGTTGTCATCTCTTTTATTAAATGTTATTTTCAGTTTATCTAATATTGGTCGCTTGTTGTCATGTGTTTTGTCAATATTGTTTACCATCGGGGTGGATTCGGAAATGCCATCATCTACAGAATCTATAACTACCTTACCATTAGAGGAGTGTTCAGTCACATTTGTGTTTTCACTGGGTTTTGGATTTTCATCAAGTAATTTGGAAGTGTCTTTAATTTCAGAGATGCTCTCTGTGTCACTGTCTTCTATATTAGAATTGTTCTTAGTTTTAGATACTTCTTCTTTTTCTCCAGTTTCCAACCTCATGAAAGCTTCTTTAGCGATATTTGTTAAATGTTCTGCTTCTACTCGGCCGGTTTGTTGTACCATATTATAGAAGTAACCATCATCAAAAGATAATAATGTAAAAGGATGGTCGAACTCAACAATCTTTCCATTGTCTAAAACCTAAAAAATAAAATAATATATTCTACATTGTCCCTACAAACAAAGTTTAATGTATATTCTAAAGAAATGGAGAAAAATAACCCAAAATTTAACAAACATTTTTAAATGTGAAATCATGGTTTCTGGCCTTGTGGTCTAAGGGGAGGTAATAGGTAATTGAAGAGTTGCCTTCCCTTGTGAGCTATTTCCCATAGAAATCATAAATTGAACAGAAAAAAATGTCTGTAACAGTTACAGTGTAACCTCAACAGAAAATATATATAAAAGATTGTTAAGGACAATGTTGGTGTCCACCAATAGTACATATGCGATAAAACTGGTTAAACACATTCCAAATATAATTCTAACATACATGTAGATATCTTTGCTATGTTTGATCTGTAACCAAGATTTGAAGAATCGGGAAGTGACACATATAAAGGAAAGCAGTTATTGCTACTGACTAAAGTTGAGAGCGATAACATATAATATTCAGCTCACTGATAATTCTACTGAAGACGAAGAGTTTTTATATGAGACTGAGAGGATAACTATTCACAAAAAGAATTGAAAATATACCTCAAAATATACTTTACTAGTATTTTAACATCTTTATAATTTGGTGAATGGAAATATAAGGTGACTATGTCATCTAAATACAACCAAGGTCTATCCAATCTGTTTCAGTTTTAATTTATATAGTCAATGTATCTTTTCTAAATACAATGTTTATGTTCAATAGTACCTCAGATTCTTTAGACATTTGCTGATCTTAGAACAACCGATGAAGTATCAACTTACCATAATTCTATCAGAATCCATGATTGTATGTAATCTATGTGCTATAGTTAATACTGTACACTGACTAAACTTCTGTCTGATTGTCTGCTGAATTAAGGCATCAGTTCTTTAAAATTAAATATATCATCAACATAGTAAAAAAATGGTAAACAAATAAATATTAACAACTGCAATATACAACTGTTACAGTTACTGTAAACATATTATTAAACCAAATCGCTATCACCTATGCAAGCTGTATTTCAAGAAAGAAAAGAGGAACGGGAACAAAATTTTTTAAAAAATCCAATCTATCATAATTAGCTCGAAGTAGAAACAGGAGTTACTTTAAAAGTAAGGCTAAGCATTTGACAATATCAAATAACATGTGAAAATCCGGAATTGAAGCATGAATTGCAGAGATAACAGGTATTAGACCACTCTGTCACCCAACCCACCAACATTTGTCAATAAAGTAAAATTTGTACTGAGACTGATTTTATATCTTATGTGTGAGTTGGAGTGTATACACTACATCTATATAATACTTACTCTGGATCTACATTAGCAGTAGCTTCATCTATTAATAATATTTTACTTTTACGCAGAATAGCTCGTGCTAGACAAATTAGTTGTCTCTGTCCTACACTAAAGTTAATTCCTCCTTCTGATACCTCCACATCTAGCCCACCATTTAGTTCTTCAACAGCCGACTTCAGTTCAACCTATTAAAAAAGAATGGTCAAAGTAATTAGTTGACGTTTTGCCAAAATAAATTTAAGGTCATAATAAAAAAACTGACAATTAGGAAAACTTATGAATAACTAGGATCAAGAAGGTCATGCGGCATTCGTCATATATATAAAAATATGGTGCATAGAATTTGTCAAACCCAGCACATAAAATTTTTAAAGCCGCCCTTCCAGCGGTTAAATTATCGACTGATACTATAGCTTCATTTCTTTTGATGTCTCTTCGTATATTTTCGTCATGCAAGAAATGGTTAAAATTTTATATCATACATCTCTTTAACACAATTAGAATTACGCAAATCACGGCTCCATTTTAATATTCAAGGGCCAAAATATATCCATACGATTGCACTCACAATTATCAACTATTAACTACTCGTTAACCTATAATACGTAACTTTTGTCATGTATATATCAGGATCATGCCTCCAGCCAATCTACGCTTTGAATTCTATTACAGTATAAGGTCCCATTGCATACTACACAGATGTAGTGAATGTATTGAGAAGCAGTGACCTATTTTCATACTTTTTTGGTAATCATAAACATTCAAAATAGAATAAAACCTTGAGCAACCAAAAGATACTTTCCATTTCAGTGAAAACCATAGAGCATGGGAACTGGACTCTGTTATGAATATGAACTTTAATTATGAAATAAAGTGTGTTTGTATATAAATTTTAGCAACAAACAAATGAAAATTAAAAAATAGCCTAGGTAGAAATAGCGTTTGCCTAGACAAAAAGCGCTGTCTAAGTGTCTATTCCTCAGCATGTTATACATGTACATGGCTGCGCCTGGCCGTGCTATAGTTCACTTTATATTTCATCAATACGAATATTGAAGATGGCCCATTGGGGCCATTTCCCATGCATTAAACTGACCTTCCCAAACCCAGAATTGTTTTCTTCTTCTTGTCTTAAAATAAAGTCTATATTATAATTTGCAAAAAACATTACTAAAAGTTTCATACAAGGGGAAGTAACTCTTCCATTGACCTATTATCTCCCCTTAGACCACAAGACTTAACACAATTATTTCATAATAAAATTTGTTCTGTCAAATAAAATTTGGGTTTGTTTAGGATTTTTTTCATCTTTGAGACATCCATAAAATTTTATCATATGTAATGTAGAATCATAAAAATAATTGGGGAGATAACTCTTTCATTTACTTTATTACCACATAGCTCAGCACCATTATTTCAGACCCATTCTCCTGGATTCCTTTAATTCTCCTCGCCTTAAATTTTAGAAAGATAGAACTCACCTCTTGAAGAGAAGTCCACAAGGACGAATCATCATATTTATCAAATGGATCAAGATTGCGACGCAGGGTGCCTGTAAATAACACTGGATCCTGTTTAAAAAAGAAGAAATAGTATATGAATACAGAACTTTTCTCAACTTTTCAGAAAGATTTTGACAAGGGTTAATTTAATATTGGACCTAAAGAAGCACATCAAACTGGAAATTTATAGTTTATTAGTTCTATAAGTTTATTCAGTATCCAAAAATAGATCATATGACCAATATAAGCATAAATACATCTTTTATTTTACTGTTGCTATTCAAATAATATTTTTCAGCCATTACATGTTGACTGTATGTTTTTAAATAGTGAAAAGTTACTAGATCTATTACTTACCTGTGGAATGATCATAATGGTACGTCGTAGATCATGTAAACCAATTTTACATATATCAACACCATCAATCATTAATTTACCAGTTGGTTCACATAATCTTAACAACATATTAATTAGAGAGCTTTTACCTGCACCTGTTCTTCCTACTATTCCAACCTAAAATATTATTGTCACCATTAGCCAACTGCGAAATATATAAATAAATGTTAAGATTTTAAAATGAACTAGAATATGTGTATTTTGTAATAAATTGGAACAATCGGTTTTACTCTTGCATACTAAAATTTATTCTTATACCTGGATATAAGAGAATACATTTTACTTACTTTTTCTTTGGTTCTAATACAGAAATTAAGTTCTTTAAGAATGACTGGTGAATCTTCAGCATATTTTAATGACGCCTTTTCTCCACTAATTATACCATGTTGTGGCCAGTTATCTGGTGGCTTATTGTCTGGTTTGGATTCTAGATCAGCCTCTGTTGGTAAACGAGTATATTCTAGAACTCTTTCTACTGATATCATCTGAAAAAAAAGACAAACATTTATATTACACAACTTTATGGATTTACTGCTTCTTGGTTTATTACTTGAAAACCGACCTACAACTATAACCCTTCATAATTGTTAAATTTCAAATGTACTACTAAATATTTACTCTTATATCTCAATGGTTTAACTAAGGTATTACTTCACACTTTGTTGTATTTTAGGTGTTTAAAATTAGTTACTGGGTACTTTATTTCGAATTAATTTCATCTTTTGTTAACATCGCTATAATATAAAAGGTTTGTAAGGTGAAGTGATGTGGGTGAGGACAGCTTAACAGCTTAACTGTTAGCCGGCAATTTTAGTCCGACCAATTCAGATGTCCAAGTTAAGCCAACCTTGGAAATAAACCCTTCTGAAACACAGATAAGTGGTACGTTTGACAAACTTTATCTGCTTCACGTTTGTTTTCAAATGATAAATTAAGGCTACCTTAACAATCACCCTCCACCCCCAATTTCGTTTTTAAAAGTGTGATGGGTACGACAGATTATTTGAATCTATATAACCCACAGGACAGACAGTATATGTTATATCCAAGTTTGGATATCACTATATACACAGATACTCAGTCATATAAACCTTTAAGAAATTTACCTGATTTTCAACTTCAGCACTCTGTCTAACACCCCACTGAAACATCCCCATCAATGCCATAGCGTATGTTATAGATAAACCAACTAGACCAGCATCTAATCCTATAATATAGATACATTAGGTTATAGATAAACCAACTAGACCAGCATCTAATCCTATAATATAGATACATTAGGTTATAGATAAACCAACTAGACCAACATCTAATCCAATAATATAGATACATAGGTTATAGATAAACCAGCATCTAATCCTATAATAATATAGATATGTATATAGGTTATAGATAAACTAGCATCTAATCCTATAATATAGATACACAGGTTATAGATAAACCAGCATCTAATCCTATAATATAGATACATAGGTTATTGATAAACCAGCATCTAATCTCATAATATAGATAAATAGGTTATAGATAAACCACCATCTAATCCTATAATATAGATACATAGGTTATAGATAAACCAACTAGACCAGCATCTAATCCTATAATATAAATACATTCGGTTATAGATAAACCAGCATCTAATCTTATAATAATATAGATACATAGGTTATAAATAAACCAGCCTCTAATCCTATAATATAGATAAATAGGTTATAGATAAACCAGCATCTAATCCTATAATATAGATACATAGGTTATAGATAAACCAACTAGACCAGCATCTAATCCTATAATATAAATACATTTGGTTATAGATAAACCAGCATCTAATCCTATAATAATATAGATATATAGGTTATAGATAAACTAGCATCTAATCCTATAATATAGATACACAGGTTATAGATAAACCAGCATCTAATCCTATAATATAGATACATAGGTTATTGATAAACCAGCATCTAATCTCATAATATAGATAAATAGGTTATAGATAAACCAGCATCTAATCCTATAATATAGATACATAGTTTATAGATAAACCAACTAGACCAGCATCTAATCCTATAATATAGATACATTAGGTTATAGATAAACCAACTAGACCAACATCTAATCCTATAATATAGATACATAAACCAAGCATACATATTACAAGATCATATAATCCAGATTAAGCATACCAAAATTACAATGACACACCAAAACTATTGATATAACATGATACATGAAAAAATATTAAAATATTGATTTAATGAGATGAGACACTTAAATCCAACAGCACCATGAATTCATAACAAAAATGATATAATATCCTGGTCAATAAAATCTGGTAAAAAAATTAAAATTTGTCAATCTAATTCACTGAAATACATGTAATCCAATCTTTTGTATATCAATAACAAAATGTCTGCCAACAAATTGAAATATAAAACACAATCACTATTAAAGGCATAACAATCCATGCTCAAAGGTGAAAAATATACATTCATATAGACTATTGTTATTATAAGTAAACACACATCTGCTGAGTATAAAAAAAACCTCCAATACACTAGCTTGTACAAAGAGATAGCAAAATAGATAGCAGTGTGAAACAAATGTAACCTTTAAAAAGTAGGAACAATTGATTTTCATAATTTTGGACCAGAATTATCTCTAACAAAAGCACTTTCGATGTGTATAGTCTTAAACTCTATACTTAACTTTAATTCCGCCATGTTGGGGCTTTGAAATAAAGACAAGAACATTAGCTAATCAATAATTGATACACTTTATTAAAAGTTCATTTCAAAATACATGGATCACAGATGAAATGTATTTTTTTTTTATAAAAGTAGGCTTATTACATACCCTGAGATGAGACAACACTGAGAAAAGTAACAGCAGTAATAAATAAGGCACACAACCAATCTAATCGTACAGCAAACCATCTACTGGTAGCCAGAAATAAATACCACGATTCTGTATGCTGATCTTGATGTAAGTCAAACTCGTCCATAAATTTCTCTTCCATATTGAAAGCTCGTATAGTGTGTAATCCTTGTAATGAAGCACTGAGATGAGAGAATACTGGACTCCTCGCTGACAACAGAACAAAATATTATACAATTAAGATAAAAGTTTCTTATTTTACTATTATATATCTGAAAAAACACTTTATGCATTGTAAAATTGCTTTGGTATAAAAAATTAGTTCAACACATCCAGTAGAGTCAATGACTGCTTATCAAGATTAGGTCAGTTTCAACACATGTACTGTAACAAAATCAATTTTTGTTGATGGAGCTAGTATCTTGAAATTATAATAGCCTACATATAAAATATGAACATTAACATTTGAGACTAACAGATCAGAATTAAAGATACATTATGTTAGATTTAGAAAGAGTTAGCCATTCTTGCTATAATAGTTCAAAAATAGATAATGTAAAATGAATAATTTGAAAATTTCATTCATATTACTCTATTGCGAGCGAAGATATTATCTTTTGAAGGTTAGACAAGACGTGTGCAATAATTTCAACCACCGTTCTGGTTGTTCGAAGCTAAGTCTCGCTCCTCCATTTTTAGCTTAAATCAAAATATGGCTGAACTGTTCTAATCTATTTAATATCGGAGAAATCGATGCCATTGAGAGTTGATTATGGTCTGGATAAGTTAATTAATGTCTAATTAATAATTTAGAAAACATTTCAGGCCTAAAGAAAGACCTGCAATAGGCAGATTTAGCTTTTGCATAATGTATGTTTAATGTAAAATGACATACTTGTTCCTTCTAATCTTTTCACACTTCTAGAGGTCTGTATATAATATCTTCGTACTAAGAGAAATAAACCACATAATGGTACTGTTGGTATAAATACCCAGGGATTAACTATACCTGCTACTAATATTATTCCCAATATCAGCAGAAAACACTGAAATATACACAAATAAGTACAGCTTTATGCTAATGCTGATGTTGGGGTCATGCACTAAACCTTGTTACAGCCATAACCACATTATCTTCTACACAAAACATTATAGACGGCATTGTGAGCACAGCAAGTCAACGAATGTATTAAGAACCTTGTAAAAGCAAAATAAAAAACAATTAGTTTATTCTATTCCTCGGAGGTATAAATTCTACTAAACCAAAAGATGTTGCTCCTAGCGGCATAGTCAATAAAATAGCAAACAGAAAAGAAACACAATATTATTTTCTGACGTTCTTGTCACAATGACTAATCGAAATATTACTGTAATTCAGACAATATCACATGACTGACTATTCATAATCCAATACATGCTACTGTATTTACATGCATCAGAGTTGTTGCTATGTCATCACCCATATTTTCATTTGAATATGAACATCTTTTGAGGTTGGATCAACTTTATTAGTTTTTAATGTCAGGGGCCCTGCTTTAAACTTACCTGAATGAAGTCAAAGAAAGTAACAGGTAATAAATCATCCATATGACCAACATCTTTAGAAAATCTATTTAATATTCTACCTAGAAATATAAAACATCCACATTTAAGTCAAAATATTCCAGTTGTGATACAAAAATAAAGATAGGTTGCCAGGCAACGAAACATACGCCCACAGCAGCTAAATCGTCCGGGCAGTCAACAAGAGTTGTCGCATATTTTTACTTTTTTCGGTAATGAAACATTTATAATACACTAAAATCTGATTAAGAGCAACAACTCAGAAAACCATTAGAATTTGTTTGGTTTTTATAAAGTTCTGCCCCATGCTAACGTTTTGTATACAAAACTTTTAATACTGTATCATGGATTTAGCTGTTCCAAATTCATTGAAAATCAATATACTTGTTCGTCTCAAGATCATAAACACTGTATATCAATCTGAAGTCAATCGGATATTAACTTTGGCCTCTAGAGCGCCCACAAGATTTTTCAGTGATCAAGGGCCATAACTTTGGCAGTAATTATCAGAAAGCTTTGAAAATCAATAGGATTCTTCGCCTCGTGACCTCAAACACTGTTTATAAATTTAAAGTCAATCAGATATTAACTTTAGCCTTTAGAGCATCCACAAGGTTTTTTTTAAGTGATCAAGGGCCATAACTTTGGCAGTAATTATCGAAAATCACTGAAAATGAATAGATTTCTTTATCTCATGACCTTAAACACTGTGTATAAATTTAAAGTCAATCGGATATTAACTTTAGACTCCATAGCGTCCACAAGATTTTTCAAAGTGATCAAGGGCCATAACTCTGGCTGTAATTATCAGAAATCGCTGAAAATCAATAGGCTTCTTCGTCTCATGACCTTAAACACTGTGTATAAATTTAAAGTCAATCGGATATTAACTTTGGCCTCTAGAGCGTCCACAAGATTTTTTGAAGTGATCAAGAGCCATAACTCTGGCAGTAATTATAGGAAATCGCTGAAAATCAATAGGCTTCTTCGTCTCATGACCTTAAACACTGTGTATAAATTTAAAGTCAATCGGATATTAACTTTGGCCTCTAGAGCCTCCACAAGATTTTTTGAAGTGATCAAGGGCCATAACTCTGGCAGTAATTATCGGAAATCGCTGAAAATCAATAGGCTTCTTTGTCTCGTGACCTTAAACACTGTGTATAAATTTAGAGTCAATCGGATATTAACTTTGGCCTCTAGAGCGTCCACAAGATTTTTTGAAGTGATCAAGGGCCATAACTCTGGCAGTAATTATCGGAAATCGCTGAAAATCAATAGGCTTCTTCGTCTCATGGCCTTAAACACTGTATATAAATTTAAAGTCAATCGGATGTTAGCTTTAGCCTCTAGAGCGTCCACAAGCAATTGTGGACGCCGGACGGACGGACGGACGGGGGCGACGACAATATACGACCACATTTCAATGTGGGCGTATAAAAATGGTTGGAGTGCCCAAGTTTAGATTTGTCGTTGATTCCATGAATTAGTTAGGTTTTAGAACGTTAAATACTGTGTGATTCAACATGGTGCCCGAGGGGTTTGATATGAAATAGGTGCGAAATAGTACCAAATGGTTTATTGGTATGAGAGTCAAGGTTTAGACTATAATGCCTTGGAAAAATGGCTAAAAAATCTTCTTTTTCTCTCAGCTACGAGATATACGTAGAATCAAACCGGTCCACGGCCGATCGTGTAGATAAGAATCTGCTTATTTGACATTGACATATAACCGAAGGTGAATAGGCCTACTCGTCCAGTTAACACAACGGACAATCTCACATCGGTCCAACAATAGAGAGACACATATTAGTCGCCTCCAACTTCCGATTTCCAAGGCATTATAGTCTAAACCTTGACTCTCATACCAATAAACCATTTGGTACTATTTCGTACCTATTTCATATTAAACCCCTCGGGTGCCATGTTGAATCACACAGTATTTAACGTTCTAAAACCTAACTAATTCATGGAATCAACGACAAATCTAAACTTGGGCACTCCAACCATTTTTATTTTTGTATCACAATGCTCTACCCCCGAGTGTTCCAACTTTGGATTTATATTTAGCCTTATACCCCTCTCACGGGTGTTACATCAACACCCTTGTCTATATACTATCCCTTCATTGTTATGACAAGTAACAATGTTACAAACCAAACCAAGGCACCCTAGTTAGCAAAATTATGGACACTAGCACTTCAATCTAAACAATCAGTAAAACCCCGGTAAGCGAGCTACCGACTCCGGTAACAAATTCGCAAACCCCGCCAAGGGGCCAACCCCGGTAACTTTGCCAATTAGTAATCATAGAAACCCCACCGGGGTTTCGGAATAGTATAAATAAAAACACCCAACACGCGAATCCAATCAGTCTGAAGAGTTCAATACGAACGAAACTAGTCACTGACATTTGGGATAACCAGGTCTTCATAGCCACCTTATCTCTTATATTATCAAAATATTCCAGACTAAAAGGCAATTTAAATATCATCTTTCAAACATGTTGGTCCAAAATTTACTAAAACCAATCAAAGTTATGGCCATCTAAAGTTCTCAATATTTTTTACTGATTTTATGACATTAATGTCTGTCTTACAACATCAGCCAGTGTTAAAGAATACATTGTTTTTAGCCTAAGACATTCAGGTCAAAATGTTATTTAACCCAATTGTTTTTCAATTAATCATCTAGATTACTATCTGAAGAAAACATCTCAGTTGTTATTTTGGTTAAAGTTAAAATTAGGAAAATAAACATTAGCCTTCTGGCATATGGAGGTTTTAACATTTGTGACATGCATACTAACAATGTGAAAATGAACATAAACACTGGCCATTTGCGCCTGGTTAGTTCTGTTTCTTGTTTACAGTATTCCTGCATTAATTTGGTGGGATATGTTTTGCTTTGTTTTGCAATATTTTCACATTAATATTGATTGAAATGGACCCGTACTGAAGCATACTTTCGGTTTTTAAAGTCCAATATTATGGATAATATACCTTAAAGGATACATTTGGAGATAAGACACATGTAAACAAACCAAATGGCATTAATATCATTCTCAAAAGTAATAATCCAGACCATGCTTACAGAATTGGAGACCATTGTTCTATTTGAATATCAATGATCACATCCTCCACATGGAATTGTTCGTATTGTTTTCTAAATACAAAATTTACTTACCAACTGGATTAGTGTCGAAGAAATTAATAGTAGTTCGTAGAATCCTAGCAAACATTAGGTTATGTAATTTCTGTGAAGCTCGTACAGCAATGAAGAAGAACAAGAGGGCTCGAAGTAGTCCAAACAGAAATACAGCTAATATAATACCAGTAAATATATAAACATTGATTTCTGTTTCTATAACAGGTATTGTTACATTTGTTACATTATAACCTTCAGATAATAACTGATTATGTAATAACAAAGCTTGATGACGTTTATCTTCTGCATTGGACCTACAAAAATTATAAATAATTAAAACCATATTTCTTTCACTGGTGTCAACAATTAAATGAAGGTAGTTTGTATTCACACACACTAGACCAATTGCATATTGTTATGCCAAAATATTGATTGCATTCTTTAATATTAAATAGGGCACATATTCACGACAATACATTTCTGTCAATTTCATCAACTTTGGTCAAAACTTGTTACTGTTTGCTTGGCCATCAAAATTGTAATTTCAAAATTGAATTGTCATCTTCGCTTGTAAATTAAAATACGAGCAAAAACTCCCAAAAATACATCAAAATTCTGAAAATATCAAATATGGCAAGTCTTTATGGACATAAAATGTTTGAATTAGCATGTAGGATAGATAAAACATTGATTACTTACCAAATAGAAAGCCACCAATCACTCATGATATAAGAAGCTTGAGCTGCCAGATTTAATAATACAAGTAAGAAAAATAGAAAACAACCAGCACCAGTTTTAAAATATGTAAAATATACACCATAACCAACAGTACCAGTACTACGTTCTTCTTCTTGAGGTAGTTGTACGGCATCAACCTAAAATTAAAATAGTAACAATTATTTTTCTCATCAAAAGTTGGAGGGTGGGGCTGGCTTTCTCAGACTACCTCGTTGTTGTTAGTTAGTTGTATTTTACGTCCGCTTCCACCGAGGTGATATCGCAGACTATCTCTTGTTTATCCCCTTTTTATACACTTGAATATAACATTATTACGTACAACTAAGGCATTTATAAAATAACTGCTCTTACCTCAAACATTGAGTTAATAGATGTTAATGATAAGGCGGATCCTATTTTATCTATTTCTGTGATTGAAGAACGGGAAGATTCTGTATGTCTTGATAAAGACATTTCTACTCCAGGAAGTGGGGACGATGGTTCATTTTCTTCACGTTTTAACAAAGAAGCAAAATCAATTCCGGATTTGGATAATTCATTGAATGTTCCTATACCTAATGTAGCACCCTGAAACGATATAACGATATATAATAATGTGATATCTTATTTTTATAAATTCATAATATATTTCTTGATGACAACACAACAAAAATGTCCTATTGTCAAAAGTTAACCCAAATCTATTGTCATAGCCACCAAACTTCAAAGTAAAATATGCAGCATCCAATTAATATAAATTGAAATTATTCAATATAAACTGAATTTATTCAGTACAGTATAAAAATAAAGTTATGTAATGAAAAGTAATACATTACATGGTTCTAAAAAAACTGAAATCTATCAACTATAATCCAGTTTATCTCAATTGAGTATATACTGACAATTAAAATTTCCATCTTCAAATATATACATGTGAATAGCTAAATAATACGTACAGGTACTAGTTTTAAAGATTAAACAAATAATATTGTTTTACCTCTTTAAGAATTAATATCTTATCAGCTTTTTCTAGATATTGTAGTTGATGGGTGACCAATACACATGGCTTATTTTTTAATAATAATCCTTTAATACATCTGAAAAAGATATAAAAGTTTGATATCATAAAAAGATAGTTTGCCAGGCAACGAAACACACACCCATTGCAGCTAAGTCGTCTGTGCAGTCAATGAAAACATTTACAACACACTCAAATCTGATTAAGAGTAACCACTCATTCTGTAAACATCAGAAATCATTAGAATTTGTTTGTCTTCTAGTTCGTCTCCGTGCTAACGTTTAGTATACAAATCAGAAATTGTTGAAATCCAAGGACCATAACTCTTGCAATATTTTTTTCAGAAACCATTGGAAATAAGATTCGTTGTCCCATGACCATAAATTTAAAGTCAATCTGATAATAAATTTGGTCTCTAGAAAATTTTTTCCTGACCAGCATCCAGGCATTGCAACCTTATTAGCAAAAGTGTATACCCCTTGAATGCAACTTTGTAGAAATATAAATGGAAACCATCGACGTTGTACAGGTCTGTCAAAGATAGGCTTTGAACTCTTCAGCTAGCCCTTGTATATAGACTGATTGGGCTTTATTGCCCTATGAAAAATAACTTTATAGTATGCTGATTATGCTGAGAACATGACATTTTATTTTTTTCTAAGGAGGTGCTGCCTATGTAAAATTTCATAATACTTTTTAGCTAGCTCAAATATTAACTACAATATTCTTACATATTAAATATATGTCTTCCAACTGTTGTATCTACAGCACTTAATGGATCATCTAATAAATATATATCAGCATCAGTATATAACGCTCTTGCTAAACTAACTCGTGCTCTTTGACCTCCACTAAGACTGACTCCTCTATCACCTATCAAAGTGTTATCTCCATCTGGCATTATTTCTAAATCCTGAAATACAAACAAAATTTTCAAATTGATTTAAAAAATCAAAAAACATCCCAATCAAATGTAGTAAGTCAACACATTTATGATTTTTTAAAGAATATAAAAAGTTTTCAATACTTTTTTATACAACCTAGAATATTTTGTTGTACCAATCAATCTGTGACTCCACATTGACATATGTACTTGAAAATAATTATCTTTATGAAATGCAATCCGGCCAATCTCTCAAATAAGATGTTGGCTTGCTAACCTCGAGGTCCCATGTTCAATCCCAGAGTTGGTCAGAGTTGAGTGCCTGCCAAGGGGCAACGTATAGTTGTTCGGATAGAAAAAAAAAAAGATTCTGTGTACATGTTAAAGATCCCTTGACAGTTGGAATTTCCTACATAGCACACTGTATGGCATATGCAAATATTCATTAGCCCAGTCAGAGCACAACAGAAGGACGTTAATTGATTTTCATTTCGTTTCATTTTCATTTAAAAATGCTTCTGATTGTAGATTAAATTAGGCTGGTATATTAAGCCTAAAGTATCCATTTTTTTATAAAAACTTTCAACAATACTTACACGAGTAAGAGCTGATGTTTTCACTATTTTGTTGAATTTAGATTTATCATACTGTTGTCCGAAAGTTATATTTTGTCGTAGAGTGCCAGAAAATATCCACGGCTGTTGCGACACATATGCCACTTTACCCTTGACATTGATATTTCCACTGATTAAGGGTAACTCTCCTAGTAACGCCATTAACAGAGAAGACTGAAAAAGGAAAAATAGATGCCATCAATTATTAGTAGTTTAAATTTATATTGTAATTATGGTAATTTTATTATAATCAGAATATATCTACATAAAAGAAAATATATCTATACTGGTTCCTGAAGTAGCTTTATATCACATTAAGTGTCGATTTGGATCAAAAATAAAATAAAATTGCCTCACTATGACATTATATAAGTAATTCTATGAGGCCTCACTATGGCATGAAATAAATAATTACATATGGCCTTGAAGCAGTGGTCTCATCATAATAGGAGAGAATGCAATAAATATTAAATATGGCGAAACTATGACATGAAGGAATTTAAAATAAGAGTTACTACGAATGAATATTTACCTTGCCAGCACCTACTGGACCAATAACAGCTAATAATTCACCAGCTCTAACACTAACATTGATATTATCTAATGTTAACTGCTCACTCTCCTGTAACATAATATACATAAACTAGAATGTCATACTGTAAGTAATGACGAGCTGACATCCTATAGAAGCTGCACACTCTTTATCACTGATTATATATCGCCATTCTATACCCTGGTACAAGAGCTGAATCTACTTCAACCATTCATATTCAGAAATTTTCAATATATTTATTTTTCATAATCTATTTTTAAGTTATTAGTATTATAGAAGAAATGACAATCTCTTTATCTAAATATTACATAATGAATCTTTAATGTCACAAAACAATCATAATCATTTTACTACCTTATCCCATTTACAGGAGATGTCTTTAATTTCCACAGTACAGTCATTAGGCTTGGGTCGTAAACCAGACTTTTCAAGATTACTACTAGAATCAAGTTCTTCCAAAAGCAAAAATTCCTGCAATTATGATAATAACAGTTAGAATATAAAGTCCATCTAGTCTTGAAAGCAACAAGAGAGAGAGAAAAAAATGGGGTTTAACGTCCACTTGACATAAACTACGCCATTTCAGGATTAACATACGGTTTAATTTTATTTTAATAATTCGATTGCGCACAGGGGTTTTTAGCCATGGGAGAAAATCAGAGGACTTGGAGAAAACCCACAAGGTTGGACAGCTGACACATACAAGCGGGGAATTGAAACCACACAACTTGACTGAAAGACAAACATTGTGATCTGTGCTCACACTGTCGGTCGCCAAAGTTGCAATTTGCGATAATATGAAAGGGATGATTAAAATTTGATTTTGGTGATAATCTTCACGATAACATTTTGCGGTACTGGCGATTTATTTGAGAACAGGCGGAAAAAAATCTTAAAATTCTAATCGTATTTATCCTGGATTAACCATTATATTCAGTGTCGATCATGTGGCGTCGTGGCGGTATACTATAAATTAATCAATTGGCTGATAATCCATATCGCACCAATGAGTAATACTAATCAGTTGTCTTGGATTAATGATTAGTTGATTGATAATTGCCAATATATATAAAGCCTATCTCAAGTCATTATTTACTCCTAATGATTAATACAAGCTGTGATTATCTGATGTTTCGTTAAGTCTTTAAAAAAAAAATGGCCAACAGTTCTTTCCAAAGAGAATTTAATATTTTGATTGTTGAATTCCGTTTACTGTGGCTTCATATGGCAAGTAAAATATACAAGCATGCCTTTCGGAAATATTATTATTTCAAATTATATTATCACCACTGATCGGAAACATAAGAACGAGTTGAATAGCAATGATTCTTGAGCGAGAAACCAGTTCACCATGTTACCATCGTGTAAATGCTCTAAAAGTGAATGACGAGTATAACTGTAAGCATCTCTTACAAATATAAATATAAATCTGTATTTAGTAAATCAAAACTGTGCTAATGTATTATGTAAGGAGAGATTTTTAAAATTGTTGCATATTCTATTGTATATATCAGTAATTGTTTTATAATAAGCCTAGCCGAGACATAAAATTGTTACATGTTGTCTTTTTATCACACATTTTTGGCAGATAAAATATACCAATTGGCAGAAAAAAACATGAACATTTTTTTTATATAAAAGTTATCATCCATTTTAGCAGAAAAAAATTGAAAACCAGTGTGAACCCTGCTTGTGATCTAACACATACACTTTAAACCATCCAGCCACCCAACCCAATATAAAAGGAACAAAAGTTAATATTAAATTCTATTATTATTTCATTATGCTGATATCTTTAACATTAATTTAGACCAATATTGGTATAATTGTAAAATCGTAAACTTTTTCACAGTCAGAAAAAAAAATTGAAACAAAATGGCTCAGTCATCAAAATTCCTTGTCCATGGACAGGCTCCGAAAAGATAAGACAATCAGTGTGTTGTTCGATTAATCATCTACAACCAAATACTAATAGTCTTTGTATAGCTAATAGTACCAGGGATCCAACATATGCTACCTATATAGAGGACATAAACTATCACCAATGTTATTTTTAGATTTACACTATCAAAGTATAAAAAAAAACCCTGAAAAACTCTAGATGTATGAATGATACATGTTTGAAAACACAATATCACAATGGTTAATACAGATATCTTAAATGGTTTCTGTGATGTGATCTGGAATAATAATTGCACAACAAAAAGTAAGTCAAATGTGTTTCCATACAAGTATCACCGAATAGTTATACTAATTTTTAGTTCTTTTTCAAATTTTATTTTAAGAATACATAATTTATTTCTTCACTCTTTATTCACATATATAGACAATATAGCTAACATTAAGGTTATCAGTCTGTCTGTCTTTACTTTTAATGTTAATATTTTGATTTAAAGTTTATAAAGAAATTGCCTTAAGCAAGAATGGTCTTGACTGTACTGTTATAAACTTTGGGTGCCAATAGGCTTATTAAGACTTTGATGCAAAGGTTATACAATTGACAATGCAGTCAGATCAGCGCCAATCAAGTGTCAACACTTTTACTTTAGTTATGGCTTAGAGCTTAGTAACTGATTCTATTAATTATATTTTACTATAAAACTTTAACCAATGAAATTTATATATTAATTTAACTTCTTTCATTTGATTCGTTACAATATATTTTTATCCCTAATTCAAATTGTATCTTTAATCTGATTTGTTGACATGATTGTCCTTTTATCTGTATGCAAATTAGTTTCTTTAAAAGACCCCTATCAGATGAGATAGAAGATAGGGTTAAGTCATTTATTAGCCCTTGATATGATCGTGTATATAATGTATATTTTAACTGTATATAAACAGATTTTGACTTGGACTTTTAATGCACAGTGACCACCTCGACCAGAATACTTCTCCACGAATGAGCTATATACACCACCAATCCTAGCTCATCCATATGTATGAAATATTACATATGTATCACCTGGGTGCGTATTCAAACGAAGAATAGCCCCAAACCGTTTGTGATATTTCAAACAATGAATAGCACAGAACTGTTGGTGATACAAAGACAAAAACTATGCAACCAAGAATTTTACAATTAGTAAATGACACAAAACTATTATTATAATAGAATGATGAAGTATACAGAGTTTCGTGATATACAGAAAGGTCTGAGATAAGCTGCAGAATATTAGATGTAAACCAAAAAACAAATTGTAAAATTTGTTTCCATGGAAACCTAAAAGTTGTCCTAGTATTCTGATACATTTGTTTTTGACAATAAGTATGATTATATTTGATCAATATTTGATATATGTATGTTCACTTAAAAATGTCTTGAGTATTAGAAACATTGAACTTAATAAAAAAATGTGGTATGATAGTGGAAAATTATAGAAACCTTTTGTCTATCAGCATAACAAAGTTTGATTTTAAATTGCATTAACATTCTCCAAAATGAGGAAACATTAACTCTTTTGATATCATGTCGTCAAGTGTGTCTTAATCATGCCAAAATTAATATCATCTGTCATGCATTTATCACAATATGCTCCATATTTTTAACATGTGAATTATACTATAAACAAACTCATATCTTGTGAAATATGCATGCAGAATAAAAAAACCAGCGGCTGCCAGGCAGGATATGCCCACATTTTCGAGAGATGGATAGAGAACAAGCTAAAAATAAAGTGATTTTTCGTACAATCAGTGGCCATAATTCAGGAAGTTACGGTTCGTTATGCGCGAATATCGAAAGGAACCTAGATCTTTGGGTAATAACTTACATTTCAAGTTTCAACAAAATCGGATTAAAAGTGTGACCTCTATAGGGTCCACAACCTTGATATTCCATATTTTTACACTATTTGAGAACGAAGGGCGGCCATTTTGTCTGTCAGTTTTGGGCCGATTTTCACGAAATTCCAACTCAGTTGTCTTTAGGGTCTAACGGTGATATAATAATACGTTTTTTTAATTCGGATAAAAATTATGACCTCTATAGGGTCCACAAGCTAAAAACGCTATTTTTCGTACAATCAGGGGCCATAATTCAGGAAGTTACGTTCCGATATGTGCGAATATCGAAAGGAACCAAGATCTTTGGGTTATAATCATACATTTCAAGTTTAAACTAAATCGGATAAAAATTGTGACCTCTACAGTGTTCACAAGCTAAAAACGTGATTTTTCGTACCATCAGGGGCCATAATCCATGAAGTTACAGTCCGATACATGTCAATATCGAAAGGAACCGTGATGTTAGGGTGATAAACCTATATTTCAAGTTTCATTGAAATCGGATAAAAATTGTGACCTGTAGACTGTTCACAAACAATTGTGGACAGACAGGGGCGACGACAATATACGTCCACATGAAAATGTGGGAGTATAAAAATTAGGTGTTTACTGCCTTCCTTTTCATTGAAAATTTATGTCAATACCATTGAAATTTCAGGACCTGCCATATTAAAAAAAAATATTTTAACAGTTTGTGTACATTTAAATTTGATTGAATACATGATCAAGTTGGTATGTTGCTGCTGCCTGAAGAACGATGCATCTTAAACAAGTTTAAATCTTCATTTTTCCTTGAAAAGCCTTTGACAAATTTACCTGGTATCTTATACACTCATGCATCCGACACACAGGACACTATTTTCTAGTACTTGAAGTTGAATATAATTAATTTCTGTTCATGTAGGTTGACTGTTAGCATGTAAGGTACTATTATTAGCAAGTAGGGTACATAATTTTTAAAAGAAAGTTTGCAGGAAAATGTCAAGAGGAAACATTAAAATCATCATCATGAAGGTAAAGCTGATACTTTTATACAATTTGAACATTTAACAAATTTTAATCTGAGTAAGTTAAATGTCAAACAATTTTATTGTTTCAGTAAGCTCAAATCTTTTAAATAAATAATTGAATGGTCACAAGAGGTACTATGAGACCCCTGTTATAAAAGCCAATTTTGTTTTGGGAAAAGTAATTCATGTAATTATACTTTAAGTAAATTTGTAATTTTCATCAAATTCCAACTGGTGTATATAACCATGAAAATTAATATGGCCATGACTTAAGTTAGAATTGATCAATGTCAATACTTTGGTTTGGACCAAAATGTCTTTAGAAGTTTGTATGGTCTTAAATTCTTATCTGTCACAGCTTTAGTATTGTGAGTAAAATAAATACAGTAAGTGTTCTAATAATACACATTTTTGAATGAAGTAAAGAATGAAAATGATACTGAATTACAATGAAATTATAATACAATTTTCATTAGACTTCATGTACAGTTGTACATTTATATATAGATAACAAACCAAACATCTGAAATTGGGCATTGTCTCTCTTTGAATGCCTTGTTGTGAAAAGTGAATCTCTAAAAGGAATATCAGTCTAGAAATGATTCAATTTAAGGTTCTGTCTTTACCAAGATACGATGAAATGAAAATTTGTAAATAGTTGCCATCAACTGCATGTGATATGTAGAATATGGTCAAAACCAGAGCAAGAACCACTTATAAATTTTGCAGAACTCATTTCATTATTTGATGGGCCACTTTTCAATCCGACTGAATCCAACCCAGGAGATTGTCAAACGTTGAATTCTTGATTTGATGTTTTTCATTCAATTTTTAAATAATCAATGTGAGTGCATTTTAGCGTGAATTCAGCCGTAAAAAATTAGATAAATGCAAATGACGATCAGCGACTGTAATTAACTTAGTAATACACGAAATTATCTTTTACGGGCCAATTTTAAAATTGTACTTTACTTACAAAGTGAAAATCCTCTTCATTCAGTTACTAACAAAGTGAAAATCCTCTTCATTCAGTTACTTATATCTACATTCAACTTTAATTTTAAAACAAGTTCCAGAATCTTTAAACAGAGGTAAGCCTTACCTGCAGACGTTTTATTGAGGTATATGCTTCACTTGATAATTGAATACAATACGACAAGACTCCAATCATAGTATTGGCTAAGATATTTAAATATGGTAAAATCATGTACAGGCGCTGTGTTCCGATTCTTTCACCAATCAGAGACATGACGACAACAGCAACATAACATAGGAATCTACTGGCTAGGAACCAAACGCTCATTGTAAATATTGATAATTTTTTTCTCAGCCAGACATATTTCATTTCAGGCCTGAAAGTAAGTTCATGATATCACTTAAAGGAGAAATAAAAAAAATTCTAGTTGCAAATATATGTAATCAGAAGAATACAATTACTGTCTACAGAAGACTCTTCATATACAAATAGCATTTATACAAGCATGCATTTAAGCAAAAAAGCAAAATCTCCTTTAAACAATATCAGCAAACTCAAGCTGCTATATGGGTCATTCCATATCAACTGGACCAATGGTGGGAACATGACCCCCTCCAAAAAAATTATAAAAAATATGTTATATAGTATATGATCTTAAACTAAAAAATCTGAAATTTTACGTCAATCTGGTCAAAAATTTGCTGAGATATGTCCGTTTGAAACTAGGGTGCTGAAACGGATCTTAAATTCACATTTCTAATAGTAGTACAACTCTCCAATTTTGTAATCCAAGACAACTTTTGGTATAGATTACGAATTTAGCATCACACTCAATGTCCAATGCATACTTTACGCGCCACCATGTGGCAAAATGTGGAACAAATAAACTATTCCCTTTTATTTTCAGGATTTCCACAGCCTATGGCAAAATCACTATTGTATACACAAACTCCAAAATTGGCATAGTTAATGTCAGTTTGTCTTTCATCAATTTACAAAAGATTATGAAATTTCAAGATGATCAAAACACACAGACACACAAAGAAAAAAATAGGTGTGGCTCTGACCCTGAGGGTTGGGCATGCACCAAAAACAATAGGAAACATCATTAGGGTGTAAGGAATAAGTATGCAAAATTTTAAGACCATGTATTAAGAATTGTAGTTTTCAGGTGTCCAGTGTTAGTGTAACAACATTACTGTACTTCAACTTTCTAACCTGGTTTCCTCTTGTCAGTGATGCAGGACGGAGGGCCTGTCAAGGACAGCTGTCTAGTCGTTCGGATGGGACGGAAAACCGAGGTCCCGTGTACACATTGGCGTGCACGTAAAAGATCCCTTGGCAGTTGGAATTCGATATAAGAGTAGGCCGTAGTGCCGCTGCCCGGGCAAAATTTCCCTCATAGCACACTGTAGGGCGTATGCCTGTCTTCATTAGCCCAGTTTAGGAGCAGAACAGTAGGACGTTAAACCCCATTTCATTTCAACTTTCTAAGCAGACAAAACAAGTTTTCCCCTGTTTTTGAAAGCAAAATTAAATTGAAACGATACTTTCTGTAGCCAAATTGAGTCTATATTCTTATTATACATTATAAGTTGCTCTAAAATGACAAATATGAGGAGCCTATGTCTTCCAGAAGTAATTTTAATCTGATTGTCAAAGTCCAATATTCCAATTTGTGAAGCGGAATAATCATTTTTTTCTCATTTGGGAGGCAAAATAAAATAAGAACAATACACTGTAGATCCAAAATGATTGCATATTCGTAATGTAAGCAAACATTTACTCTAAATAGACATGTGAAAAGTCAACAATTTTGATAATAGCCATTGATACTTCATCACTGCACAGATTTCAAGTGCCAATTAAAAATATAAGCCATCAAATACACAAGATGTATGTTATAGTAGGGTAAAGAAAGCTTCATTATCAATTTTTTTCAGAATTTTAACCTCCGTCCCACATGGCCAAAATTGAAGGTGAATCTTTTGTAAATTGACATTAACTATGCCAATTTTGGAGTTTGTGTATACAATAGTGACTTTGCCAGAGGCTGTGGAAATCCTGAAAAAAAAAGTGAATAGTGCATTTGTTCCACATTTTGCCACCTGGTGGCACGAACTGTGTGAATCGCACATTGTGTGTGATGCTAAATTCTAATCTACACCAAAAATTGTCTTCAGATTACAAAGTTAGAGAGTTCTACTACTATCAGAAATGTGTGTTTAAAGCACCCGAAAACCTGAAAAAAAAATTACTGAATTTATGATCCGTTTCAGTACCCTAATTTCAAGAGAGAGAGAGAGAAATGGGGTTTAACGTCCACTAGACACAACTAGGTCATTTCGGGACTAACATATGGTTTTTTAATTTTATTTCAATAATTCGCTTGCGCATAGGGGTCTTTAGCAGTGGGAGGAAACCGGAGGACCCGGAGAAAACCCACGAGGTTGGATTTGTTAGTTTAAAGCAATATACTATAACATATATTTTTTTTTATTTTTTGGAGGGGGTCATGTTCCAAACTTTCTGAAATTTGGTCCACTTGACATTGAATGCCCCATATGTGATATTAAGTGTGTGTCAAATGGTGATACAGTTTGACTCAGTCCAAGGTTTGGGTCAGTGAATGGGATTGAGACTTGAGTGAAACAGCTTCAGTTATGTATCTATTTGGGTATTTGTTTTCATACAGAAGTATTTTATTACTTGTGTGAATGGCTTAATCATGTTGCGTGCTTATTTTTTCCATTGTATTTGTGTAAATGTTTATTACTAGTATAAATCTTTGACTTGATGTGTTATATATTATATATCTTTTTAGAGATTTTTCTTTTTTACTGAGTACTGTGTTATGCATGCCTACCATTTTAAACTGACATTGTATGTCGCTGTCTTTTCAGTGCGTATAGATCTTTAATATTTATGAAAAACTAAAGAGGATTATAAGTTATTAAAATCTTTAAAATAAATGAGAAAAGAAATGAAATTTCAAACAGCTATTTTCATCACAATAAATTAAAATACCGGTACATGTATGAGGACTGGCTATAAAGTTCTAAGCATGAAAAGGATAGATCAATTGGGTTGAAACAAACTTTTGCCACCAACAAGTACAATCATTGAATGAATCATAGACATAAGAACTGCAACTGTAGTGGAATTATTGTCTTTGTACCAGACCATCTCGTGAACCTGCCAATTGGAATCACCACAAATGGACAAAACTGGCTATAGGGTAGTCATCAAGTACCTGCAACTGAAAGGACTAACCCTAACACAGATACATCCCGACACAGTCTCCACTTTACAGGATGATGCCCCTTCCTTCTCCACAGTAAAGAAGTGGCCTGCATAATTTCAGCGTGGCAGAGAGAGCCTTGGTGATGACCTGAGAACGTTACCCGGTGCATGACATGGTGATGGCCGATTGACCACTCAACATATTACCAGTGTTGTGGGCATCTGCCATGAGAGGGTTGAGCACATTATTTCCAATGTGTTAGGAATGACAAAAGCTTCTGCTGGGGATCAGCAACGTGTCAGATTGCTGACGCCTGTGACAATCTGAAGCAGATTCTTATAATGTTTTGGCCAGGTTTGTAAGCATGGATGAGACCTGGATTCATCACTTTCAACCAGAATTCAAAATTCAATCTAAACAATAGAATCATCCAGAGTCACCAGCCCACAAAAAAGTCAAGTCGGTTCCTTCTGCTGGAAAGGTGATGGCTTCAGTCTTTTGGGATTCCAAGGGTATTCTGCTGATTGACTATCTTTTTAAAAAGGCCAGACTATCAATGGAAGATATTATGCTGACCTACTGAGTGAGTGAGAGTGCAGCATAAATATTAAATGTGCATTTTAGAAACCACACCTCACTTCTGCCACCTGAGAAAAACCATACTAATACAGAAATTATCCTAGATATTAGTTTGATAATAACACATCCACAAAACACACTTCTGATAGAAATTACATGTACCTGACCGTTAATGCCAAACAGTGAAGAAACTAACTTCTGACAACAAGCAAAGATAGCTTATCAGACAATGAAACATATGAACAAATTACAACATTTACAAGAAACTAAATAATAATAAAAGGCAGCAATATTTATAGGATATTGATAGTGCTTTTTCTTTTCACTAAAACATTTTATAATTATTCACTTATAACTTTAGCCTCTAAATCATCTGAAGGTAATATCAGAAATAGAGACTTTACTATTTTAAACAATACATATAAATTCTTAATGACTTGAGAATGGTAATATATTTCACCAATAGACCATCTATACAATTCTAAATACAATAATTCTAGAAGTAATCATCAAAAATTGTTGAAATTTGATATGCCTCTTTATCTTACTCTTGATAAGACATTATAAATTGGAAAATGACAACTTCAGCCCTAACCCATAGAAATCAAGTTAACAGCATGTATCGCCCAACTAACATAACTACCAAATTTGGTTGAAATCCAAACAGTTTAGGAGAAGTCAAAAATACACAAATTGGCCAAAGGAAAGAGCTTCTGTCCGACATTTATAAAGTCAAGCAGCATCATTTGAACAAATCCAAATAAACGCAGATTAATAAACAGTCATATCAATTGTCACTAAAATCTGTCAAGTGCTCTCAAAGAATAAGTCATATCAATGTTAAATTTGCCCCTGTTCTGATCTGCTGCTACAGGGTTCTGCCCTTTCATTTTAACAAACTACCCTGACAAAATGTCCATCAAGCTGTTTAGGGGGAGGAATAGCATATGATTAATTGTGTATGTACACTGTAAAGCTTGAGACAGAAGTGATGACATGAGCCCTTTAGACATGGCAAGGTTTGGGGGCGTTTGGAAAAGTGAACAATGAAATATTTATGAAACATTTTCTTTTTATTTCGCTGGAACAATAATCGTTTATCCTATCATCTTGTAAGATGTGGGGAAAATACATTCTACAAGATATTGGACATAAAAGAAATATCAATTTTTTTCAAAAATTTCTTCTCAGACCCCCTATGTGCCTGTGTGGTACCACATTCCACAAAAACTTTGAATAATTTTGATGCAGTGTTTTGGGTCTGTGGTGTTTTTTACCACAAGAGTTTCACAATTTTTTTAAAAAATATTAATTTTTTCAAAAAAAACCCACCACAGAATCAAAACACTCTATCAAAATTATTCGAAGTCGAAAATTTGGTGGAATGTGGTACCACACAGGCATATAGGGAGGTCTGAGAAGAATTTTTGAAAAAATTGATTTTTTTTCTATGTCCAATATCTAGTGGAACTATAGTGGTGAAAAACACCACAGACGCAAAACACTCTATGAATATTATTTTAAGTCGAAAGTCTTGTGGAATGTATTTATTTTCAGAAACCCAATATCTAGTGGAACTCTTGTGGTGAAAAGTTCCACACAAATGTTCCCAAACCTTGCCATAGATGGATCCCTTTAGACTGATGGGCTAAACATAAATTTGTGAAAAATGTCAGATCCTAGTTTAACCAGCTGTCTTACCTGAACTCGTATAATTGTAGCTATAGCTTCACCAATCCAAACAAAGCAATGATATAAAACACCCATCATTAGTTCAGCTACATTGTGTAATAAAGCTATTATCTGGTAAATATATTCTGGCCTCAAATTGATACCAGAGAGAGCCATAGCAACAACTGACAGCCATACTAACAAACGATCCGGAAGAAACCAAACATTAACCATGAAAATAGAGCATTCCTTAGTTTTTCTAATCCACTTCATCTCAGAACTGAAAATGGTGTTTTATTTATTTCAACAGTGGAATAGAAAGTACATGTACAAGAAAACTTTTTTAGCATTACGAACGTCTCAAATGAGAAGTATTACAAAGATATAATGGCAGCAATGGTTTCTAAGCATGCAAGACTAAGTATGTTCACAAGACAGTGATTGTGAAACCTGTAAATGATAAAAGAGAAAATAATTCTATGTTTTAAAGAGACATCCATACTAAGAGAAAATATAAGCTTATTTAACTGAATTTCAGTAATATATTAAAAATAATTTTATACTCTTCTATGATAACTACTAAACACTGAATCATGTAGTACTTGGGTTGATTTGTCTGAAATTTTGCACATAATCTAATCTGAACATACTTTGCAGTAATTTTAGACTAGTATTTTACCAATCAGCCAATAGTTCCAAAGATCTAATGCCTCTTTAAAGATGCATTATATAATATTTAGATACAGAGCTAGATTTTCTGGCTCTAATTTTTGAAAAATAAATAATGAAAAAAAAAATTGAATAGATTGAAAATTTCATTCATATTACTTTATTCCGAGCAAAGTTACGACTGTCTGAAGATATAGCATAGATTATTCATTATCATAGCAATGGTACTTAAACACAAAGACTCAGACTCGATTATCTACACATTTAAAGCCAAAAGAAAGACCTAGCTCTTACATAAAGCATTCTTAATGAATTTTAATATTAAAGGAGGCAAATATCTAACTCAATATCATCCACAGTCTTTGACATTGCAAACAAGACTTAATATTGATGTTGTTATCTTACTGTGAACAGATGGGCTTCGAGAACATATCCCACATGAGAATACTACTTGTTGGAGACTGGAATAACCAGACGCCAAAGACTGTCATTAAATTTCGACTCTTCACATATTTTGCCAAAAGATAACTAATTAGAAATTACAGTAAAAACAGAAATGATTGAATGTAAATTAGTTTATATACATTCATATTACATATTACTCATTTGTGTCCATTTCTAGGTGCCAAAGAATAGAGATTTAGTTCCTTTAAAATTTACCTTTAATTATACTTTTTATATTGCAAATCAAAAAGATACATTGTATAACATGCAAATAAATGGTTCTATATCAAGCTGGGGTTGAAAGTATACATTAAAGACATTGGAACATTTACTGATAGAACAAAATATTGTGGGATGCAGGGAAAACAAAGCATGCATGTCTTCTATCATATGATTGTACGATGGCACATGATTTAATTTATTTTCAAGAAATATCCTGAATTAAGAACACTGTCATTAGAGACATGTTTATATCAAAGGGACATGAAGATATTGATTTCAATAGATATTTCCCTTAATTTGTAATGAATTTAAAAAATTATTTAAGCTCCATCTAAAAGAGCTGGAATAAACATAATTTTAGAAATGAATATTCCAGATATATTTTTAACGGTATGGCATATCTGCATTGTGTGAATTTGAAACTGGGTAGTGCACTGGCAATGTGGTATTTCCTGGTGATTTGTCAGATAAATGAACATTTTTGACAACCTAAGAACCTCCTGTGACAGGGAACTTCTTATACTTGACAACCAGTTTAAACATAATTATCAAAGATGTTAATGTCTATTTATATTTCTACTGAAGCTACAACCTCAAAGAACATATATTTGAGTCAATAAAACTAGTTCTATGTGCGAGACTCCTAGGAACCATTATCCTACCCAAAGTAACTATCTGAAGCTCATTAATTCTTATTCAATGCAACCATATTGACAGTACTGCATAAAGTTTAAGAGGCTGATACTGTGAATACGTTTCTGTGACTATACAATCCAAATTTTGAATTTTTACTGAATTGGTCTGTAACTCTACTATGTTAAAACACATTTACACACCAGTCAGATTAAAATTAAGACCTTATTGTTGTTTCTTTCTAGCTTTCATGCTTTAACACTTACATTACAGTAGGGTCCAATACGGACATCCTTAGGAAGTTTTAGTTGACCTGATATAATCTATCATCTAGCCAATACTAAGGCATATGCCTTAGGATAGAATGTTATAAAACAATAACAGCGGCTATAATTAGACATCCAAGAGAAAAGAGGACTGGTGAAGAAACCTTCAAAATTAAAATCAAAACCAAATAGAAATTAAACTTCTGATTAGATTGAATATATACCTTCAATATTCTTAATGAATAGTAAAATACATTCCCACCACAGGCACTTGAAGGAATTAAAATAAAACTTCTTACTACTGCTTGACTATATATTATAGTATATAAGAAGGTATTTCAGCCGCCATCTTTGTTTTCACGTCTTCAAGGCATTACGTCTGCTAACATCTCACAATACTCACTAGTTCTAATACTACCCGTCATTTTTATTGCCAACGAGACCTTATAGCTGAATAATGATCAAATAAGGCCTCGTTGGCAATAAAAACGACGGGTTGTGTTAGAACTAGTGAGTATTGTGAGATGTTAGCAGACGAAATGCCTTGAAGACGTGAAAACAAAGATGGCGGCTGAAATACCTTCTTATATACTATAATATATAGCCAAGCAGTAGTAAGAAGTTTTATTTTAATCCCTTCAAGTGCCTGCGATTCCCACTTAAGTATTCATCAGGTAGTTATTTCCAATAAAGTATGACAAGTTTGGTATATGGAAAGTAGGGACACTAAATCTTACTAGAACTAGAAAAATACTGGATTCCCTGAAAAACACCCATGAGGTGTGCACAAGACAAAAATGTGAGGGTATACCTGAAACTCAGTCTGTCTCTTAAAGTGATGTAAGGAGTGCTTCTTATGTATTGATCTAATGGCTAGTGGTTGTGAGAAAACTTGGTGATTAAACAGCAGAAAAAGAACTTTGTTTGAATTTCTGTGTTCTGGTTTCAAGCCTGGCAATACACTCAACAGCATTTAGAAAGTTGGTAAAAGGCTCATGCCCCGAAAACTTCATTATTTTAATGGGGTTTTTTTGTATTCCATACAAATATCTTATATTCTTTATTTTACATTTCGGGTAGATTTCACATAGTTATATTCACATCAAGCTACTGGTTGAAATTTAGAAAATATTGTAGTCATTTCGTAATATTGAACAGCAGATCAGCAATCATATTCCATTTTCTATTGCATTTTTCGTGGAAAGATACTTTTCAATTCTGTAATAAAAATGAATAAACCTTGGAAATCAAATGAGTTGCCTGTTATACTACTTCATAAGATGTCTCCTGTTGACCTAGCATTATATAATTTATTTGAAGTGGACATCCAGAAACCCATACTATTCAAGAGCATTAGATATATTTGTCCAAATATTTTGAGTTTCAGGGCATTCATAATATAGGTGTTCAAGAGTTTTATCTTTTTCCCCACAGAATGAACATTGCTTTTCATTGCTTTGTTTGATATTGTAAAGGTATGATTTTGTGGTAACAATTCTGTGTAGAAATTTGAGCTGAAACTCTTGCAACTTTTGTCCAGTATCACCTTTTTTGGTAGAGCACATTTCTTTCTCAACTGTCCTCAAGACAGATCTAGTTTAAGGATATTCATTCATTTAATTTCATTTTTGCATTCCTTTTCATCTGGATCCTTATCAATTAAGAAATTGTTTAATTGTATATATATGTTTACAACCCTTACAGCCTGGATAGAACTTGGGGCACAGGGTTTTTGCAAATAAGAATGTACATGGTCTGACATCACATTTTTCCACTATTTTCGGAGAGAACTTTCAGTCCAAATTTGTCTTTTTTATGATCAAATGCAGTCATTAACATTTGTGACTGCCTTTGTAAATTATCCCAAAACTTGCACCAAGGTTTCTATGACAAATGGTTTCTTACTTGTTATTTGATGAAACAATAACTCTGAAATTCAAAAGCAAATTCCTATCTATCTCGATAAGATGCACAGCCACAAAAACTCTGGCCTGCACAGCATTTAGAAAATGTTTAAGTGACAGGCAATATAATTTTTCATTGTCTTCCTCCTTAGCACCAGTCAACAAACCTAGCATATATTGGAAAATCTAAAAAACACTTAACAAGCAATAACTGTTACCTGAATTTGTTAAGGTTTCATCCAAAATAATTAAGAGAGAGGGAAATGGAGTTTAACACCCACTCGACACAAACTAGGTCATTAATTCAGGACTAACAATGGTTCAATTTTATTTCAATTATTCGCTTGCGCATAGGGGTCTTTAGCAGTGGGAGGAAACCGGAGGACCTGGAGAAAACCCACGAGGTTGGACAAGCGACCCTACTCCTTGTCACATACAACCGGGGAATCGAAATCATTCCAGTTATGACAGACCTTATGATACAGCGCGCACATGCTAACCATTCAGCCATCCCCAATCCCCCCCCCCCCCACTACAAAATAATTGACGACCAAACCCAGTTTACACAAACTTTTGACATATGAACCAACAGACAGTGCTGACAACATTTTACTCTAACATGAGATGTAGGCACATAACAAACGAATCTATTTACCTTAATCCTAATAGTTGATGTCCAGGCACCAGCTAGGCTATGAATCTGATATGACAGAGTCCCCAACAAAGATTCTTTCAGCAAAAATGTACATGACATCAAAATAAAGAAATGCTGTGATGAGGGATTGGAATTATAAACTAAGTATGGGAGTAGAACAGTCAAATACAAAACATAAGTACTTTCACACCACATCATCTCTTGCACAAGGTCACCTCCATACTTTATCGTTCTTATCAACTTCAATTCCTTCCTACATGAAAAACAATCTTTTATTTCCTTGCTGAAAGGTTAATTAAAATAAAAAACAAAGGGAGACAGTCTGATGCTAGGAATACAGGGGATTCTGAATATAAATGAAATCATTTGCTGGAAATAATAGAGCAGCATACAGTAAATAAAGCTTTCAATGTTATTTATCAATGAGAGAAAATATAACAAGGATTATAAGTTACATTTGAAATACAATTGTTTAATCTTTAAAGTC